AGAGTGCTTCAGCACGGCAGCCGTGGCTTCCTCCTTTCCCGAGGTCCCAGGCCACTTCCCCTTTCTGCTTTCCTCTTGTTACCTTCCTGTGCAGACAGTTTTTTTCAGCTTTCCTTTCAGAGTGTGGCAGCTTGTGACAGATACTGTTTTCCTTCATCTAAAAATACTATTTTCTCCCTCATTTTCAGAAGGGTTTCTCCTGGTATGGGATTCATGGTTCTTTCAGGTCTTGAGAAAGATTGTGTCACCTTCCTACTGCCTCGCTGGCTTCTGAGGAGAAATCCTATGTGCCCCCATTGTTTGTCCCTCAGAGCAAATGCAGTTTCTCTCCTGGGTGCTTTCAGAAATTTATCTTTGCTAACAATGTTCAGAATTTTATTTATGATGCATCTCAGCATGGATTTCTTATGACCTTACCCTGTTTGGACTTCACTCAATCTTGAATCTGTAGGTTTTGTGTTTTGCTGAATTTGTGAATTTGTTATTCATTGTTATTTTTTGGCCTGCTTTCTTTTCTCCTTATAAGATGCTGTTAAGAGAATGTTAGACTCTGGCATAGGCTTTTGGGACTGGGTTAATTTATTTCAGTCTGTTTCCCCTGTTTGTGTAGGTTGGGTAATTTCTGTTAGATTTCCTCATTCATTGACAATTTCCTCTCCACTCACTGCTGAGTCCATCTACTGAACTTTCTATTTTGGTTACAGCATTTTGTACTTCTAATGTTTTACTTCGTGTTTCCTTGTCTTCAGTTCCTTCAAAGAATTTCCCTTTGCCTTCAGTTAATCTTTTCACTGTTTCACTTGTGTGTGCAGTTGCTACTCAGGCATTCTTACTGTGGCCACCCCGAAAGCATTGCCTTTCTATCCCGTTATCATCTGTTGGTTTTCTTTCTATAATCAGTTTGTGCTCTTCCTGTTCCTTGGCAATGAAGAGTGTGTTTTGATTGAGACTTGTGCTGTTGTATGGCGGTGGGAGTTCCAACTCCTGGGTCCTCTCCCTTGGCCTTCTCTGATGCTGTCTGTCATGGTTTATCTGCAGATGTCTGCCTCCCCCACCCAAAGCCTCATTCTGTCATAGAGGGACCTTGCTGGCAGGAGGTGGCCCGGCCTTAGTCGCTGTTGGTGTGACTAAGGAGGTTGCATCTCCTTCCTGGCTCCTCCCATCCCTCTTTCCTTCCTGGCTGCCATGCTGTGAGTAGCTCTCTTCCACCAGCCCTCTGCCATGCTGCCCAGCCTTGGAGCCAGCTGACTGGGCTGAAATGTGAGCCACAGTAAACCTATCATTACGTTGCAGGTGTTGAGTGTTGCACCTCATCCACTAGGAAAGTGGCAAGAACACTGTCCAATGGGGAGAGGAGCCTCTTTGCCACAGAGAGGAGTGGAGGTCCTGGCTCCTTGTGTGGTCTCCCTGCAACATGGGGAAGAAGACCTTGCTCCTGGCCAGCAGTCTCGGCTCCCGGCTTCCTCCTTGTCCTGCTCAGACACCGTGCCCAGCAAGGGCCCTGGAGCACTGGTTTCATCTATCCTGGAGTGACCGGGCACCCCTTCTGCCCTGGCTGACATGGGACAGGACCCACAGGGCTCTCTATGCTGTGGCTGGAGTGGAGTAACTCTTGTTTAGACCAATCTTGTCCTTTCTAGGGGATTGTCCTGGGAAAGCCGACTTGGCAGGGTCCTGCCTGGCCTGGTGGCCTTTTTGGTCATCAGCATCAGCTCTGTGCCTGGGTTGTCATGGGAACTTAGCACTGGGTACTCAGATCCCAGGCTCCCCGGCTTGTCTGCTGCTGTCCACCTTTTGAAGCCATCTGGTGTATGACCTGGAGGGAGGTGCACCTGGCAGGAGGGGCAGGGAAGAACCTATCTGTTGCTTCTCCCCAGGGCAGAGGTTGTGCAGCCTAGGTCTGTGTTAGTGGTGAATGTGGGTTCCTTGCTGGTGTCCTAATAGAATTAAAATCAGCATACTATACTGATGATGCCAGCGTGTGTATCTTTATTGCAGTATAGTTGAATTTTTTACATAGACAAATCTGAATAAAAGGGCCTCTTCTTTTCCAATTTCTTATAATTTAAACTACTTTTTGTATTTTTAGTATCACTTGAAGTTTAAACATGTTAGGATGTTTTTTAAAGCATAATCAGTCAGGAAAATCCTTGTCTTGTTCTTGCTGATATAACAGTCTAGGCACAGGAAGGGACAGTTTTGCCAGGCCTTGGTCGGATCTATCAGATGATCAGGTCATGCGTGATCACAGGTCTTACAGCCCTTCTTGTTGCTCACATTCACACAGTACAGCGTTAATGTGAAAAATCAGGGACTCACAGGGGCCACAGAGCATGTGGCGTGAGCCCAGAGATAGCCCCATCATGTGCAGATCCCAGCACATGGCCTGGAGTGTGGGAGGTGCCAGGCTGGGGCTCCAGACCACGGCCACCCAGGGACAGCCAGTGGCATCTGGCTTGCTTACTTGAGAGAAGATTTTTAAGTGTTTCTCAAGTGTTCTTTGCTTTCAGATTTAAATACTCACGGTGTACTAAAGACATGTAATAAGGGAATTACGCCTGTGATTTCCTGCGTGTGTGTGGGTAGCATGACCCTGAGGTTAGGGTTTGAGCTGGGAATGCGGTTTTGCCAGAACTGCCGGCTTGCAGTGAGAGGCATGTGGCAGTGGTACCCTGCAAGATGGAGAGTGGTGTGGCAGGTGTGGCAGGTGTGGCTGTCGTGGCTAGCACACGCCCAGGGGAACGTGTGTCCCATTATGTGTGTGCGTTGTACAGTCTCAGTGTGCTGGTTGGGGTTAATTCTAATTTGAACACAACAAATCTCAACCAGAGTTAGAAACAAAAGCTCTGCACGATGGGTTCTTCACGTTTCAAATTGGCTCACTTGCTTATAAAGGTATTTTATTCCACCTTCCAGTTGATTTTATTAATTTAGATGGCGAACAGTAAACTCTTAAGTGATTTTCCTCTTTTTATACCTAAGAGGAAATAAAAACTCTCAGTGTCGACAGATGTTGTACATTACGTACTCAGTCACTTCTTCATCCTTTAGCAGCACTGTGGCCTGCCATGTGCCAGGTTCATCTGAGGATATTGACTGCAGAAGCGGGGACCCTGGCCTCCCGGGCCACGAGGTCCAGGGAGGAGGTGGCCCCGGGGAGCTCGTGTTGGAGCTGCTGGTGGTAGAGGTCTTGCAGAGTTCCTGCTGGCTCGGGGTGCAGGTCCACCCCAGGGAGGGGCCAAGGAGGATGCCGGCTCTCATTCAGGGATACTGGCCCGCAGATGGGGGCTTTTCCGGGGAAGGAAGCCAGCTTGGTTGGGCTGCATTGTGGGTCACGTCCCCCAGAGTCTCCTGTGGGGGGGAGGTGAGTGGGCCGCGGGGCCCCTGCTCATCACCTGTCCCTTGTGTGCTCACTGCAGCTTGTCTTTCTGTGCCTGCCAGTGGTTTCTGGATAAACCGTGTATGGAGGTCCTCTCTGCTAAGTGTCCCTGGTCACACCAGCCTGGCTGCTCGATGTCCTCAGTCAGTTAAAAGCATTTGCCTCTTTTGGTCCTTCTGACTTCGGGGAAGATCCAGAAGTCACTCGGTGCCAGTCAGTGAAAAAGGTGGACCATTACGTGGTCGTATCTTTTTTTTTTTTTTTTTTTTTTTTTTGTCTTTTTCCTTTTTATCGGTACCGGGGATCGAACTCATGACTGCCTGCTTGCAAGGCAGGCACTTATGCTGCTGAGCTAAATCTCCAGCCCTAACGTGGTCATATCTTTCCAGGCTGCCTCTCCAGTGGGCGGCACTGGGCATCAGTGTCCACCATGCCGTTCCAATCACACCTCTAAAGACCCTCAGGATGGAGGCTGTAGCACTGCTTTAGAGAGGGGCAGGAAGGGTGGGACAAGTGTGTGTTTGACCTGGCGGGGGGGACTTCGAGGGCATTCATGGTGATGTGACTTCTACTGCAGTATTTAAAAATTCAGACATCTGTGCGTGCTTCAGCACTCCTCTGTCACTGTTCCGTTTCTCCCGAGACAATTCCCAGCTCCATTTGAATGTCAGTCCTGTGACAGCTGGCTGCTCGTGTAGACCCTGCAGATTGCCTGCAGTTTGTGACTGGCCCAGGAGACCCGTTAGCAGGTGGCATCCCCTGCTCCAGCCTCTTGCTGCACAGGCTGATGCATATGTGGGCTAGGGCCTGCACCTTTGGCCCTTTGCTGCAGTCATGGATGTTGTGCAGGCAGCCCACACACCGGTTTGTGGAGGTCCAGCTTGACAGTCCTCAGAGAGGCGGTTTCAGCACACATGACCTCTGTAAGACACCCAGTTGACAGCTGTGCGGTGCCTGAGGAGTGCTAAGTTAGGAGCTGGAGTGAAATCCAGCTGGGCAGAACTCAGGTGGGCTATTCCTCGAGTCTGCAGAATCTCAGGCAGAGAGGGTGCCTGCAATTCACCGTATATCTTACTATAACCAAGAGACCGGGGAAGGACCAGGAAGTGATTTTATACCTGCACACAGTTTGTGAACAGAAAGTTTGCATGAGTGATATTGGACACGGTTGAGGCAGTGATTATAAAGGACTCTGGGGTCGCTCTCGGAGCAGTTCCCCTTGAGTCTCCCATGTTGGAGTCCAGTGAGCCTTCTTTCAGCCTCTCCCATCTCCTTTACCAGCATGGTCAGTCCTAACTGTAGCTGGTTCTTGCTGGTGATAATCATGAAGTACTCACTGCCTGCGGGGTGGCATAAACTGAAAGTAGGCAGTGAGGGCAGGGTAGCAGCTTGGTGGCAGAGTGCGTGCCCATCCTGGTGAGGCCTGGCCTCAGCCCCATGCTGTACACATGCTCAGGTGATGGCCTGGGTGACTCATGGAGTGGGGTCTCTTGCCAAAGCGTCTGCAGACTTCATGCCCTCGCTCTGTCTTCAGTGTGAGTGAGGAGCAGTGAATCCTTCCTGGAGGGTGGGCTAGGCCCTAATGTGAATCATTGCTGACAGTCTTGTTTTTCCCCTCCAGTGTGCGGGATGACAGGATTCGCGTGGAGAGGATGGACAATGTTTATTTTGAACACAGCCACGCTTTCCAGGCAGTCACGCAGTTCTATGCAAAGGATCCAGTTGGTGAGTTTTTCACGTGGGCTGACCTGAATTTGCTCTTCCCTCTGATGATGGCCACATGGTGAGCAGAAGTTGGTGGGAGCAGCCAGGAAGGAACAGAGAGGGACGCTGCGGTGTCTTCCTCTCTCCTTGGAACCTTTGGGCTGTGTTCATCAGAACGTAAGGAATTACAGACCACGTTTTCTGTTTGCATGTCTGCTAAGATGGCCTGATAGTAGACTGTGTTTTAGCAGAGTGTTTGATAGCTGTTTTGTTGGAGTCCAGCATCAGGACTGTGGTGAGGGTGAGTGGGCAAGGCAGACCTCCTGCAGTCAGCCGGACACCAGGGAAGACGGTTTTTCCCGGAGGGCGTGTCTGCGACCAGCGCTGGGTGTCAATTGCACGGAGTAGGGGAGCTTGTCTTTGCCTAGTGGGTGGAAGGGTGGGAAGGCAGGAGGGGGCTGGGAGGTGTCTTACCCAGTCTGAAGCAGTGTGGAATGGTAGGAGCCGCCTGCAGCACTGGAGCCAGGTCTGAGGGTGATGTCACCCGAGGGCCTCGGTGGGAAGAGGCTCAGGATAGGGAGACGGCCCTCTGGGGAGGGGTCCCCTACACCAGGTTTGGGCATCAGGAGGTGATAATAGTGTGTGAGAGACTGCTGAACAGGCTTTTGTGTACAACAACAAGGAGGCTGGTTTCACGTCGTCCCTGAGATGGTGGAAGCTGTCAGTGCTCCACGAAGGGAAGTGGAGTTTGCAGGGCCTCAGGAAGGAGCTGTTCCCCAAAGAAACTTGTCAGTGATTGAGCTTCAAGAATGGTCAGAACATCAGACAGACCCTCCAGTGCCAGGGAGACTGCATGCCCAGACCTGGGCTCATCTTCCTGGCTGCCTGCTCTTGAGCCTGGACAGCATGGCCCCTTGCTGGAGTCCTGCTGTGAACGACGAGTTTGCTGACAGAGTCTCCTCTGGTCAGGCGCGACACCTGTCTCCTGGCCTTGCACAGCTGGCCTTTCAGCTCCAGTGTCACCATCCTGGTCATTCCTTCCAGCAGGTGCCTGATGATTTGCTGCTACCAAAGTGTATCTGCTTCCCATGGGTGTTTAGGTCAGCTCCAGTTTTGTATGTTTAAAAAGATTTTTCTGCTTACCTTGTGTGTACATCTTCGACATGCAATTTGGAATATTTCTGGTCAAAGGAGAGGAGCATTTTATTTTTATAAATATATAAAATAGCATTTTATTTATATATATATATAGATATAGATATAGATATATACACACACGCACACATATATATATACTTTATATATATATATATATTTTAATTAACTTTATTGTTAAATTTTAGATATACATAGAGCATTTTATAGTTTTATAGAGTCTTTTGTTTGTTCTCCCAAAAATGATTGATTCCATCATCAGAAGAGGCCTGTGTCTCCCATGTCATGGGTATCTGTAATCACGATTTCCAGAGGGCCGGTATAGGAAATGCTACCTAAATCATGGTTTCAGTAACCATAAAGTTTACATGGAATTGGTGTATGCAGCAGTAATAATGTTAATGAGGGTGTGCATTCTGTTTTTTTAGGGTCTCAAGGTTTTTCTGGCATCATTAATTTGGAGAAACCTGTGATCTGCTGTTTGGCTGCTATAATAAGATACCTGAAGGAGTTTAACTTGGAGAAGATACTCTCCAAACCTGAGTAAGTGGTATCTCAAATAAAACAGACAGGTTAAGAGTTGTGGTAAAAAGAAGTTTCAATTTTGGTGTGTATTGTATTCAGAGAGCTTTACCTGCTCTTGATAGAATTCCCTAGGAGGGCACAGGGGCAAACTTCAGTGTACTGCTGCAGAATAATAAAAATATTGATTATCTTAAAACAGCAACATGGCTCTGGCAACCTGTGTCCATGGTAACTACTTGGTAAATAGTTTTGACTAAAACTGTGCTTTATACCAAACGGATTCAGAAGTAGGTATAAAAGCATCCGCAACATTTTATTGCTTTTCTTACTGATCTCAGTTCTTATTTCCTGGACCATACATTAGGGGAGAAAGATGCTAGCTAGTAACATAGGTGCTTTTATTGAGAGTGGTTAACTTATGGATTTCAGAACTGTCAAGCCACTGAAGGGAGACCCCGCCTGCTAACAGCGGGAGGGAGGAAAGGGGCAGTGGGGTCACTTTCCTGCCTCTTTCTCCTCCGCAGCCCTCGTCCTTGTCACTGTCAGGAGTCACTATCTGTCGCAGTGACTCTGGGTCAGTAAGCTCTGCCTTCCGCAGTTGGTCGTTGGGTGGCCCTGGCTTGGGGGCTGGACAGAGTAGAGACAGGCAGGCCCCGTGGGAATAATCTCACCGTGTCTTCTCCGTGTGTTCTGTGTCACATTCAGTAGCATAGTATCGCTTCCCTGGAAACAGTGTTGTCCCAAGTCAGAGCAATCTAGATACCCCTCGTGGGAAGTGGGTTCACTGTGCCGTGTTTGTGCCATGGACGATGAATGACCTACAGGACCAGCACCAGCGCATTGAACTAGAAGTCAGGGTGCGGGAGGGTGGAGCGTGTAGCCCTGTAAGAGTGAAGAAAGCCCAAAGCAGAACTCACCGGAGCTTAGGGAGCGCTGAGTGCCATAGCCAAGAGCGGCTTCTATGGGGACTGGGAGGGACGGGAAATGTGGGCAGTGGTTCCAAGGAGTTCTGAGCCTTTTGCTTTAACCTGGTGTATACTAATCTGTGAATGTTTTAGTGCCACTGAAAGGTTTTATTTTCAGAAAGCAGCGGCCTGCCCTTAGGCCTCCCTAGATACTGCTTGGAGCTCCATGGTCAGGCATTGAAGAGGCCCAGCTGTGTGTCCAGGGATGCTAAAAGATAATTTTTAAAAAAAGAAACACACTGTAATATATACAGGTAACCATTCCCTGAGCCCATTGTAAGCTATATGAACTGCAAAGGTACAAATAAAATGAAATTTAAAAACAGGAAAAAAGAGCCTCTAGAACACACCCCGCCCATTGGACTTATCCAAGCTGCAGAACCTGTGTGAAGTGTGGTGGTCAGGGAGGAAGAGCTTGCCTGGGACACTGACCTCTCTGTCCCTGCAACACCACGTAAAGCAGCACTGGGACAGGGAAGCTGGTCCCTGTTTTGCAAAATCCTGATGCACTGAGAAGGTGGTGATTTGGGCTTAAAAGAGTGTGTCCTCTCATACTGAGTTAAATTGACAGCAAATAACTAAGCAAAATGATAGGCCTTATTCTGTGTATATGCCCAGCTTCTTGTCAACACTCAGAAAGTATGAAATTAATGAAAAAAAGCATTCCAGATCTTGGAGAGTCAGTTTAATCGGAAATTACCAAAATGCCATTGGAGACTAAGATGAATGAATACAGACAGCAATCAAATGGGGACTGTTGTTTTGAGTACAGATGAGGTGTGAGTGGCCATGTCTCCTGGATGACACGTGGTTTCACGCTGAAGACTGTCCCAGGAGAGTCAGTCTACTGGCCTTATGTGTTGGAAAAAGAAAGCGACCTCCTGAGGTGATTACCTTGGAAAGAATGAACATGCTCCTTGTGCACGGAATGCAGCCGAATGACTTTGTACCCATGAGATGCTGCTGAACTTCTGAACTTGTACTTGAAGACCTGTATTGTCAGGGGAAAAATAAATTCAACTTGCCTTGCTTTGTTTAGCAAATGCTTTCATAAAAATCATCGCATACATTATAAACTCTAGAGGAGCATTTATTTCAAGGTCTTTGTGCCTTTATAATAGAATTTTAGGTGGTTGAAGAAAATGTACCATTTCGGGAAGTATTCTTAGATGAAATGAGGGTTTGTTTTTTTTTAAAGGGAAAATTTTGAGATTCCAAAATTGTTTTGAGAATTTTAAGTATGTTTGCTTCAGAGCAGAATGGCATAACAGCAAAAATAGAACAACAGGAATAACAGGTGGGTCTTACGGAGTTCGGATGTTAAATGTCCTAAGGGCCCACCTGTTACAGGCTTGGCCCCCAGCCCATGGTGCTTTTGGGAGGGGCTGGGCCAGGCCAGCAGGGGAAGTGAGGTCATGGGAGTGTGTCCTTGAGGAGTCTCTCTCTGCTTCCTTCTTCCCCACACACAGTCCGCCTTTATGAGCTGCCTGGCCGGAGGCCACAGCACAGATCAGCTGTGGAACCTCTGAAGCTCTGGGCTGAGGTTACCTTCCTTCTTCCAAGTTGATTATATAGTTATTTTGTCACAGGAATACAAAGCTGGCTAATGGTTACGCCAGATTAGTCCAGTTTTAAAATGTATAAAATTTAAAAGACATGGAATTTTTTTTATTACCAGAAAGGAGTACTTTTGTCATATTGGATGGTTTTTCATTGAGATTAGTTTCAAGTAAGCTTTGGCTTTGGAAATTATAGGAAAGAATGAAAAAACTCAGCCAAGATGAACTCAGAAGTTTTTTTTGCCCAGGACTGATCAGACCCTTGGAATCTGACAGGTTGACAAAGAAGAGAGAAAGACAGACAGATTTTTAAGATTCAAAGGGGATCAAGAGTAGACTAGATTTAACATTTTTTTTCTTTTTCCTTTTTATCAGTACCGGGTATCGAACTCACGACGGCCTGCTTGCAAGGCAGATGCTTATGCCGCTGAGCTAAATCCCTAGTCCCGAGAGTAGACTTGATTTTAGTGAACAATTTCTCTGGCCTCTACAATCATTTTTATTACCCAGCAAACAGGACAGGGTTAGGGGTTTGTAAGGAAAAGGAATACAGGACACATAATTTATAGGATTATTTTATAATATTCACCCCAAGAGTCAAATACAAAAGAGTGCAGGAGATCATCCACACACTGAAGACCCAAAGAATCTAGGTTAGAGTCTGGATCCCACAGCAATGTCCTCTGAGTCCAGCTGAAGACCTAGAGACCACAGCAATGTCTCATGCAAGTCTGTTTTAAGAACCTGCCCTGGGAAGGCCCAAAGGTCTGTCAGCGGTGGAAGCTAGAAAGTACACCAGTGGGGTGAAGGAGCTGTGCCAGCAGGCCAAGGGATCTGCACTGGATCCAGGAAGTGACACAGTGGAGAACCAGAGCGCCCCAAAGTGAACCACATTCAGCCTCAATGATGAGGTCCTAAGCTCCTCTGATGATGAGAACAGCTGAGTTCATATCAGGAAAACCAGAATGACCAGCTTCTCCAGGAAGGTCAGCAGCTCACCTTCTTCACCTCCAGTTCTTTTATGCTCTTGGCAACAGTCCTCAGGTGGGCCCTCCACGCCCAGCACGGAGCTGGGTGTTACAAGTTGACTACCAATTATCAATCCATCACAACACAGTTGAAGGAGATTTTGAAAAATAAAGAGCAGGTAAAAGTTCAAAAGAGATAAAGGTTAAAAGGGAGCAATCTCTTCTCCACACCCAGCTGCCTGCACAAGTTAATGGGAACTAGCTTTCTTCCTGTGTGGTCCTCAGTGGATGTGATCTTGCCCTGGGAATCTTGTGGTCAGCATCTTGACCCCCACCAAGCCTTACACAGCCTGGCCCCAGCACTTTTTATTAGAAAATTATAAGAACACAGTGATAACACGTGGTGACTTCATTAGTGCATGTAGATGTAATATACAAGCTGTTTAATGACATCTAATAGGTCAAGGCCAGAGATGCTGCCAAATATTTAAACTCACAGGACATTCCACTACCAAAAACCCCTAAAACAATCATGATACATCCCAAATGTTACTACTACCGAACCGGGCGAAGACATCCCAATACAGGCACCATAGACTGGTATATTCTGTGACTGGATGCACAGAATCTTCACCAAAGCACAAGCAGATGGAACCCAGCAATGTGATAAAATGGATCATGTACCACAACTGTGGGATTCATTCTAGGAAAATAGGTTTGATTTAAGATTTCAGAACCAATGATTATAATATATTTTGTCAGTAGACTAAAAGACAGAGCTATGTGATTGTCTCAATAAACTGGAGAAGCTTTGGCAAAAAGCAATATCTTTTGTGATACAAACACTTAGGAAATTCAGAATAAATGGAGCTTTGCCAATTGAGGACACCTCTGAAGGCCTTGTAGCTAACAGCATGCTTGCTGGGTGCGTGAGTAACTTTCCCCAGAGAGCAGGAAGATGAGGGTGTCTTCCACCACCGCTGATCAGCACTGTCCTGGGGCTTCTAGCTAGGGCTTGGCACATAAAGAGACAGTCAGTGGGGAAAGAAATAAAACTATTCATTACTGCAGATGATAGCAACTCATATAGAAAAAACTTAAAAACCTACAAGACTGTTCAGGCTAATACACCAGGTCACAAAGCTTTAGGATATGAAATAAATACTAAAAAACCAATGGTATATCTGTATACTTACAGTGAAGCATCTGATAATGAAAGGAAACAAGTGCTTTACAGTAGCATAAAAAAGAATAAGAATGAATTTAATAAAACAAGTACAAAACCTCTACTCTGAAAACTACAGAATGTCATGGAGACTAAAAAAGGCCTAAAACAGGGACAAGTGTCCCAGGTTCATGGATTGGAAGACAATATTGGTAAGCTATAATATTCCCCAAACTGATCTGTAAATTCTCTATGGTCTGCTTCGAAATCCCAGCAGGCTTCTCTGTGGACATCCACAACCCAGTCTCCAAATTCATATGAAAATGCAAAGAATTCAGCATAGCTGCAACAATTCTGAAAAAGAACGAAGTGGGGGACCACGCCCCTGTTTCAAAGCTTACTACCAGGCAGCTGCTGAGACAGAGTGAGCGGACATGACAGCTGCTGCGCACGCGCATGGCAGGAGGCCCCAGAAGCCGGAACCGGAAGTGTGCCTCCACGCCAGCAGTCCTTGACTGCCTGTGAGGGAGTGAAGACAAAACAGTGGCAAAGAATCATTTTCAGCAAGTGGTATCAGGACAGCTGGACGTCTGTGCAAGAGAGTAAAGTTGCATGCTTCTTTCATGTCCTGTTTGAGAATAATTCAAAACAGACCAAAGAGGTCTTGAAGACTGCAGTGTAGGTTTTCATGGCCGTGGATTAGTCATGCACTTCTGGCTATGATATAAAAAACATAAATGCCAAAAGGAAGAAAAAACTGCAGTGAACTTCATTAAAATTAAACCTTTTTATTTTAAGACAACATCATGAAAGTGAAAAGAAAACCTATCAGACAAAAGGATTTTGCAAAGCACATATCCAGTAAGCACTGGGGCATGGAACTCATGAAGATCAGTAGTAGAAGGAGAGCTAGCAGTGTACAAAGCGAGGAAGGGCCAGTACTGGCATTTTCCCCAGAGGATTTATGTAAAAGCCTCCTACGCACATAAGCAGGTCTTTGGCATCATTCGCCATCAGGAAATTCAAGTCAGAGCCACCACTCGGACCTGTGAGGATGAGGAGGGCTGGCTCTGATTTAGTAACACGGGATTAGTCCTTTGTTTAGTCGGAAATCAATAAGGAGTGGAAGTAAAACTGAAGTTTTCAAAACAGTGCAATTTATAATTAATAACGTTTACTCCCCAAGTTGGGCATAGGAGGAATTTGTGAGTTCTGAAGGTCACAGAGAAATATCTTCTGCTATAGATTTTAAATGTGATATGGTAGGTTTTTTTGAGGGGAGTCCTTATTTATCCATTTGCAGTAGTGAGGATTGAACTCAGGGCCTTTGCAATGAGCTACATCCCCAGTCCTTTTTTTATTTGGAGACAGGGTCTTGCCAAGTCCCTAAAATACCCAAGCTTGGCTGAAATTTGTAGTCCTGCCACAGTCTTCCATAGTGCCAGGATTACAGGTGTGGACCACCACTCCTGGCCTGCTAGTTTTAAATACTGTTTAAGTATAATTTCAGTAATGGGTGATCTTTCAGAGGAGGTCTGTGCCATCACTGCCTTTGTCAAATTAAGAAACACTGGCTTGTTTTAATTTTTATTTTTTTTATAAAGCTAGGTAAGAGTGATGGAGAATGGTAAATTTCCCTGGTGAGCTTTGCACATGAGCATTTCCCTCCCTTATAAAACTTGAGAGCAACAAGCATCTTTGAGTTTTTGGTGTGTAAAATATTAATGAAGTATTTTCCCATGTTACTTATAAGATTTCTATCCAGATTCGCCCAGCATGAATTCTGGTCAGGGATTGTTTATGAGATTCATTTCAAAGCCCATGAAGTTCGGTTTCTTCCACAAGGATAAATAATTTAGAAGTGCTTGAATATTTCAGGTCAGCAATCATATACTGTTGAATACCCAGGGCTGCTGATAGATTGATATGGCCTTGGTTTGAAATTGTATAGAAAAAAAAAATCATATGGAGTTCCTTGTGGAATTGGGCACGGACAGAAGGACGGAAGAGTCCAACTCCAGAATACTCCTCAGCCAAACACATGGGAAACCAAAGCAGGGTGGGCCCTGGAAGCAGCTGCTAATCACTGTTCAGATTGCACATGGTCATCTCCTGCATTAATTCAGTGCAGACATCTCTACATCTCATTTGAAACTCACACTACATCTCATTTAAAATTTAGCTACCAATTTAGTTGGAGCAAAGAGAAAAACAGTGAAACAACCGTGGCTAACCAAGGAGCCAAACAGACAAGCAGAAAACTATACATACAGTAGGGTCGTACACATATTAATACTGGAGTTAAAGAACCGTGTTCTGGCTCTGGAAGGGCCTGGGCATGTGGGCAAACTGGGCCGCCTTGGTGTCTGCAGTTTGGTTTCCTCTGGTTGCAGGTAGCAGGAGCCACATCCTGTGTTCTGTTGCCCTTGGCCTCAGCTGGTGCGGCGCTGATTCTGCCCCGCAGTGAGTGCATTCACCAACCCTGCACTGCTGTGGGCACAGCATTCCCCATGTGCCTGTGGGGCCAACTGTGGCTGTGTTGGCCCTGGTTTCTAGGGACAAGAACAGTGCAGAGTACCGGGTTCAGGCTTCTCTGTTCATCTTCCCCCTGCTGGCTGTGCTTTCCTGCTGTTTTGTCCCCCACAAAATTTAGCTTGAAACCTGATCCTGAGAGGTGGGGCTCTTGGGAGTGATTGGGTCACCTGCCACCTGGGGAAAGCGGCTTGAAAAGGAAAGCCTTTTGTCCTTTGAGGGAGCAGACCCAGACCCGCTGGCTTATAGATCCTGGACTCCAGCCCCGGGAGTGAGCAGCACTGTTCTCTTACGTGTGGATCACTCTGGCCGAGACATGGTGTTACAGTGTCCCCATAACTACTAAACCAATGTGGTGCTGGTCAGCCTGTGCCAGGCTGCTCCTGTGCAGCCCGTCACCCCCGCTTGGTTAGTTAAGCTGAACTGACAGGAATAGGGTTGCGAAGCGCTTGGGTCTGAGCCCCTGAGTAGCGGATTTGGCTGGGCACATGCTCTGCCATCTCGGATCTGTGAACAGGGATCTGCTGAATGTCCGTCATCTCCACAGCCAGAATGGCTTGATTCCTTCCCATAAATAGTGTGTTGTACTTCACATCCGTCCTGGTGTTCCCCATACAATGCTGGGGCTCTTGGACTCCAAGGAAACCAGCCAGACAGCTCCCTCAGCACCCCATTGGAAGGTTTGCCCTGTGTCTGCCCTGCACGAAGCCCCGAGGTACCCCAACAAGGGTGTCACCAATGGAACCCTTGCTCCGAGGAGCCACGCTCAGTGAGAGGAGCAGCTCACAGCCAGGAGACAGGGCAGGGCACACTGCTGTCTATCAGGTGCTATTCTCTCATGACAGAGTGGGTCATCATCCTCTGGAGGGAGACCAAAGCTGTCACAGTGAGGTCCACTGCCGAAGAATAGCACTTAGTTACCGGCAATATTCCAGATACAGGGAGAGCTGCTTCTCCCTTCCAGGGCTCTGAGTAGCTGGGGGAGGATCTGGAGGTTGAAAGATCTTTATGCTTTGGGCTCCAGATTCCTGGGTGAGGACTCGTGTCCATAACTGGCCTGGAAAATTGGATATTTAGATAAACCTCAAGCCTGTCTCGAGAAGAGCTGCTGATTTTATAGCACAGACACACAAGCTTTCCTTCCACATAGTTCACTGACCTGCCATTATTTTTCTCTTTAAAAATAAGCCGTCAAGTCTGCCGGTCAGAGCATCTAAAGGCTGCTGCCAAAGGGACTTGAACTGTGCACCACTAGCATGTTGATTAATGATTATTAGCATGGATTAGAGTGGTGCCTACATTTGTTAGTCATTGTGCTTCTCAGTTCGCAGGTTTGTTTGAAGTGTATTACATCTTTAGGTTTTTGCTAGTTACAGGAACATAAGGGGCATGTGAATTCTTTGCTGCATTTGAGGAAGTAATTTTCGGTACTTTCTGTTTGTACTCACTAGACCTTGGCCACCTTAATGCGGGTTAATTATAGAGTAAATAACATCTGTCACTTGTACCAGAATGTTGGCCAGAAGCTTCTGCCGTGTTTATTGAGATGATCCCCTTCTGCAGAATGAGGGGGACAGCTTGGAGAGTCTTGACATATTTTCCTAGCTAATTGCATAGCATTTCCTGGAGAAACCAACTTATGCCCTGCCCGTGGTTGGAGACTGTATCTGGTTCTGTTCCTGGAGATGTAAAACAAAAACGAAACCCTGCCACCCTTGCCCGGGCCTATGATCCTAGTCTCGGTGGGTCATAGCACCTGTCCTGCCCCTAGTCGCTCCGCTGAGCGGCTCTGGGCCGGGGAGTGAGTGCGTCTCACTCTTTGTGGTCTGATGTCCCATCAGAACGCTGCCTCTACCCAATGACCTGGCTGGTTCCTAGCCCCCAAGTTAGTGTCCTTTGTCCTCGTAGACTCACATGCTAGCTCACTGAGTTCCATCCTCTGCAGGAACTTGAAGCAGCTGTCAAGTGAGCTGGAGTTAATGACGGTGAACGGAGCCACCCTGAGGAACCTGGAAATCCTCCAGAATCAGGTGAGGTGGGTAGGCCAGGGGAGCAGGGTGATAGCAAAGGTGCTGATTCAAGTCCTCCTCTGCCTGTCGCTGTGTGGCCGTGATGACCGAATGCCTCCCATTAGAAAACCTGGGAAAAACTTCCTAGGCTTCTCAGAGCGGAGCTGCAGACTGTCTTCTCTAATACCCGAAGGACATGTCCACCCTGATCATTGCTCTACCAGTTCTGTGTCGGATACTTTCCTGGAAAAGCATCATCTTTGAGAATTAAAAACAAGTGTGTTTGTTTCACTGCCCCCCGTTTGCCCACACTGCTTTAACTATGTGTTGAAACGAAGTCTACGAGTCCCATTCACAGCCATGGAAAGTGGGTCTGGAGCTCAGTTTGACTGCAGGAGAGGGTGCCACAGCCTCTCACTATAAACTCTCTCGGCCATTTCCTTCCCTATTGATGAGCTGAGAGCTTAAACAATGTTTTTGTTACTGAATTATCACTAAGAGGTACAGTGTTACATGGTAAACTGTTACAACAGAATCAGAAAGAAATAACCAGTTCCAAATAGAACACAGGTCAAAGTCACCCAAGTGTAGTGGAGACTTAGAACCACTGGAGTCCAGTTCTCAGGCCTTCCCAGAAACAGTTACTGCCCTTGCCCATTACATACAGGATCTTTTCTCCTGGCCCCTGCGTGAGCAAAGGACGCTGCTGGAGCCCCTCCCAGTCTCACAGTCCATCTGTCCCTGTTTGCTCGGCCCAACTTGCTTCTGCCCCGGAACACTTTTACTGGCTGGTCCTTTCATTACCCACACACGGGTCTCTCTGGTCAGCTGTACACACTGGCAAAAGGCTATGCTGGGGACAGTGGCAGGGATGGCAGGACAGCCTTGGCACACGCAGCTTTCCTTGACACATCTTCCCTGTTCAAATCCTGCTGCATGCAGTTCTGAAATCCACTTCTTCCTTTTTGTTTTTTGAAACAAAATATGAAATTATAGAGTAGCCCACCCTGGCCTCAAGCTCCTGGTAACTCTTCTGTCTCAGCTTCCTGAGTGAGGGCATTATAGGTGTGTGCCACCAGGCACAGTTTGTAAAATCCAGTTCCTAAGGCAAAAGTCACCTATAATTAAGCCACCTTTTACCAGGACTTCTGTTACCAGGACTCCAGCTCTTGGAGAGGCAGAAGCTGAGAATTGGCATCCTGTACTGTCCTTTAGTTGAACTTGGGCCTGCCTTTCCGTGGAGGCACTGGGGAATCTATTCATCATTAACCAGACACCACATTAGCCCTTTCCTTTGTGAAAATATCATTACTCTGCCTTGCACGAATGGGTGCGCCTATGTTTGTGGCTTCATTCATCAAACATCAAGTGAACAGCTCTTGTGAGCCATGCTCTAAGCAGGGTGTGGGGAGGGTAAACTCAGCCCTGGCAGGACTCTGGCCAGCTAAAGATCTGGTGTGAGTGAGTGTCCAGCCTGTTTCTGGTCTTTTACAGACTGACGGGAAGACCAGAGGAAGTTTGCTTTGGGTGTTAGACCACACAAAAACTGCGTTTGGAAAACGGCAGCTCAAGAAGTGGGTGACCCAGCCACTCCTTAAAGTAAGGTAAAAGGATTCTTTTCTGTTTTCCCCATAAATTCTTAAGGGTAAAGTTGTGTCAGTGACCTTGAGACCAGCATCAGAATGGGTGCTGAGAGCACAGCTGTGACTCAGAAGAGATTCACCGTGGTCACTCATACTTGCTGTGTGATACTGTCTGGGGTGTCCCCAACCTTCTGAGGATGTCCCACCCCTCACAGATTGGAAGACAAGGACTTGGGGAGGGGGCCGGAGAGACTCACTGCCGGAAGGCAGCCAAGGGAGTTGGCTCAGCTTCCAGGCGTGGTGGCGGTGGTGAGGTGAGCCCACTGGGGCAGGGAGAAGACTCAGCTTTGTTGCCCACACCCGTGGAGGGTGGCTTTGGGGAATGGAGCGGGCCTGGACTCGAGGTCTGTGCCTGGGAGGCCATGGCTGCAGGTGTCCACACAACGGAATCCCAGAAGCCCTTGGTGCTGCCTGGTGCCAGGGCTGAGTCATGCTGGTCTCCCTGTGACTGGGCAGCAGGAGGTTTGTGTCCTTGGTGATCAGCCCTGCGGCCTCTGACCTGACTGGTGCCCGAGCTGCTTCCCAGTATGGTGTCCAGTGCCCAGCATAGCTCTCTGACAGATGTCCCTGGGGAGGGTGACCCAGGAGCCAACAGCTGCCATGGCATTGTCACTGCAAATGGGGGCCAGGGGCACCTCTCAGCCCTTAGCCACAAGGCAGGATGCAGTGTCTAGCCCTTGGAGTCCGAGGATGCCGCCTGACGGGAGCCCTGGCTGCCTTTTCTGAACACGCACTCCACCCCAGGCCTGTGTCTGCAGTGTCTATGTGTTGTTTTTACCTTTGTTAGCATGTTTGCAGTACATGATGACCTCAGTCCGCAGGGGGAGTTGGTATGTGGATGCAATGCTACTCCATTGTCCTCATGTCTGCTTCCCTCCTGTCCCTGCCCTCTCCCTCCATCTCTTGGTCCACTTCCTATTTCCTATTTTATGTCATTTATTTCGCTCTTCGTTTATAGTTTGGTTTCTCATGTAAGAGAAAACATGCAGTATTCAAGCTCATGTGTCTGATTTTCCTACAGAGGACTAAAGCCTATCCTCTTTTTGGTAGAGCAGTGCTCCACTGTGTGAGCATCGCATTGTCTTTATCCAGTATCTGCTGGTGACTACAGAGGCTGCTGTGTCTTAGACCTCACAGCAGCCTCCTGCATCAATGCTGTGTGAGCCCCGTGTCACTGGAGCCATCTCCTGTCATCGTGCATGATGTGGGAGGGCAGGTGTGGTGCTGACATTGGAAACCAGTGCTCAGACCCTGCTGATGATGAGAGCAATGATGACAAATCCCTTGGGGTTGCTGGGTCAGTCTCCTCGCCTCTCTTACCCAGAAAGATTCAGGACACAGGAGATTGAGGAAGTAAAGAAGAAAGACTGAAAATGGAACTGATGCCTTCAGCTTAGGACTGGTGGGGAAGGAAACCTGTAGCTCGAGGTAGGCCAGCAACTCATGTAACCCTGTGAGGACGGTGGGGAGTGGTCGCTGATAGAGGCGCGGCTCTTGGCACCTGCAGCTCTGCCACGTCTGCTAAGATGCGCTGTGGAGCCTGCTGCAAGGAGAGCGCTGCCTAGAAGCCCACACTATGTTCCTTCTGGGACATTCTCTGCCTGTGTGTGACAGAAGTGGCCTGAGATGAGCTCGGCAGACCCTGCCATTTGCTCTGCGGGCTCAGTCCTGTGTCCTCAGGTCCCCTCTCAGGAAAGCAGGGAGAGGCGCTGCTACCCGTCCAGCACTGAAGGCCAGAGCCATTCTGACAGAGAGGCCAGCAGACGTCCGCTTTCCCATCGAGGAGCAGGAAGATAGGTTTACTGGATGCTCAGAGAGAGGGCTCTTTTTTCTATTTCTTTGTTTCTGGTTTAGTCCCACTGTGGTTTTTAGCATTTGAATGATAAATTCATTTACATTTTTAGGAAAATGTAAGACTGAAAAGTTGTGCAGTAAAAGATTCACCCTTCATGGCTGCTTTCCCTGTGGAAAACTCCAGGATCATTTCATTATAGCCATGAAATACACAGTGGGGTACCCTCCCTTCTGTCCCCGTGGTGATGCGTCTGGGGCCAGGACCTGCTGCACTTCCTCCATAGGGTCATGTGATGTCTTGGTTCCTTTTCTGTCATGGCTGGGACAAAATACATGACACCCAAAGTTAAGGAAAGAAAGGTTTATTTTGCTCACAGTTTGCGGAGGTTTCAGTCCATGGTTGGCTGGTTTCAAGGCAGAGTGGCATGGCACAGGGGCAACAATTTTCAAGACAGCAGAAGACAGTTAAAGTTACAAGAGCAGAAAGTGGAGGAGAGCAAGCCTCTTTTCCTCACTTACATTGTATGCAGGCTGCCCTCCTAGGGCGGGTATAGCACCCAGACTGTCTTCCTATCCTTTTCTGGCTCAGGCTGGGATGTTTTCAAAGTGCGGACCCTGGCCCTCTGCAGGTCAATTGAAGTCTAGACTTCTCAAGTTGACACAAATGTATCAACCATTATAGTCCACCCCCTGTCCTCTTGGTAACCAGTCACATTTCTTTAAATGGGTTTCCAGATACAAAGACATATTTATTTTTATTATTGCACAATTTGAATGTTATAACACAGCTTTAACAATTCTTAAGAACCAGTGTTAAGTCTGTCAACCTTATATTACACTAGAACCATGACGTTCTGTTCCTGGGCCTCCAAAGCCTCATGCACATCCCTTTATGCAAAAGGCCTTTAGTCCATCTGCCATAGTTGCCACAATCCTAACAATTTTAGCATTGCTGAATAATCCAAATCTCAAGTCTCTGAGATCTAAGGCAGACTGCAAACCCTGTACAAATGAAAACGAAGTTAAATACTTCCAACATGCAGTGGCACAAGATAAACATTTTCATTCTAAAAGTTACAAACAAGGATACAAATGAGACCAATGCAGGTGCACAATCCAGCAGGGCAGACATTAAGTCCTGTAGTTCTATGTGCGGCATCTGAGGCAATGTGTGACAACTTGTGAGCTCCAAAAGGCTTGTGTGATTCCACCTCTATGGCACTTCTGGTGGCTACAGCTTGCACAAGTTCTCTCTTGGGCCCACTTTGCCCCCTTCTTGCAACTTTCCTTAAATGATCCACATTCCTAGCTTTTCCAAACTTCTGGGGTCTCCACTGCACCTTTGGCATCACCCTCACAGCTTCATACACTGTCCTCTCAGGTGCACTGCCTGGACTCCCAGGCCTTTTGAAATTGGGAGCTTTCTTAACCCCATAACTCTTGCATTCTGTATGCATTTAAAACCAGCAACACATGGATGATGCCAAGGCCTGCTGTCAGCTGGAGCAGTAGCCAGGCTTCCCTCTCTCTTGGCTATAGGAGTTGAGTGCCTGGATTGCTGGGCACTTGGAATCCAATTCTGAGGAACAAATTTTCTATGCCACTGCCGTTCTGGAACATGGTGTTCTGTGGCTTTCTCCTCAAAGCAGAGTCACTTTTGCAGTTTTGAGGCTGCAAAGGGTGGAGACCTGCTGTTTCTTGTGATGCCCTCAGGCCATCACTTCTATTTCTCCTGTTCCTTCTCAACAATGGAGATCTTCTTAGCTCTATCTTTGCAGTCTACAGCTTTACTGGAGCTTTTTTTTCTGGCCAAACTCACATATTAAATCATCCTATTGGGGTTTTTGCTCTTTATTCTCAACATAGATCTGGCTAAAAGCCCCCAACAGTATCTGTGCCACCACCTCAACATTTGACTGCCTTGAAGTTTCTTCTGCCAGATGAACCAGTTGCCTGCTCTTAATCTCAGACTCAGGCAAAGTCTCTAGACACAAGCAAAATGCAGATAAACTTTTTGCTAAGCCATAACATACCATCTAGACTCCTGCAACCAATACAGTTCTTCTTTTCAGCAGAAACCTCCCAAGCTTGGTGTTTGACTAGCAGGATTTCTGTCTTCTGGTCTTCTGAGCAGTGGTCAGAATTTTCCGTACAGAACAGCCTAAGGTGTTCCAGTGCCAGTCTTTCCAAACTCTTTACATAAGCCACTCCCAAGGCTCTTGAACCATGTGATCAGGAATAGCCACGGCAATGACCTCATTTTTCTGGTACCAAATTCTGTCTTGGTTACTTTTCTCTTGTTGCTGGGACAAAATACCTGACATCTAAAGTTAATGAAAGAAAGGTTTATTTAGCTGACAGTTTGTGGAGGTTTCAGTCCATAATCAGCTGGCTCCTAGGCAGTGTGGCATGGCAGAAGGGCAACAGTTCAAGGTGGCAGAAGACAGCAAAAGGTAACCAGAGCAAAGTGGTGGAACAAGCGTCTTTTCCCTTGTATTGTGAGCTGGCTGTCCACCCTCAGGTGGGCATGGCACTAACACCACCACTGTGCCCTCCTCTTGCACAGATGCAGGATGTTTGCAAAGTGAGGATCCTGACCCCCTGCCAAGTCACTTAGTTAAGCTTCTGGAGTTTTCAAGTTGACACAGTGACTCACAGTAGTCTCCATGAGCTGGTGTTCTGAAGTCCCAGTGACAAAGTGGCCCCATGCTTGGGGACTTTCTTATCTAATTAGGAAGGGATGCTCTAGTGAGGGGAAGGGGTGCAGGTGCTGGGTGATTTTTACACCAAATGAAACACCTGCACACACTGCTCCACTTTGTACCACAATTGGAGGAAAGGAAGAATGCTTTTATAATTCAAATTAGATCTCCAGAGAACAGCTAAAGAGCAGTAAGAGTGCTAAGTTAGTTCCTGGCAATTAAGCCCCTTAAATAATTAAAATTAAAGGGATGGAAAGTTGTTTGTGTTGGCAGTCAGCTCCTTGGCTACATCTTTGTGTGGTTTTTACACCACGAAGCACATGTCCACACTGGGGAAATTCCCTTGCTGTCTGGTAAGCCCACACATGTGACGTGTGCATGGTGTGTTTCTCATCCATCACCCTGGCCTACGTGATGAGGTCACTGGACAGCAGCACTTTTCCTCCCACTTCACCTCTACTTTGTACTGCAGACTAAATGCCACCTTTAAGCCAGTGGCTGTCTTACAAATTCGCTGCCTTGAGGCTCCCTGCAGCCTTGTGCCTGAAACACTGAGTTTCATTTACCTGCTCACGAGTGGTGGAGGTGGCAGCCAGTCTTGTGTGTGGGGATCTGAGTGGCATGCAAAGGGGACCCCTGTGGCCCAGGAGGACACGCACCTGGGCTGTCACATGTGGGTGAGCTCTGGGCCATGGGGCTGGGGGCAGAGGAGTGGGGCAGGGGCACGGGCACCAACGTTTTGTTTCCCTCTTGATTCGCCTCATTTCCCTGTTTGCAGCTCTGTGCTCTGTTAAGGGGCATTTTCCAAATAGCCTCCAAATGCTGTGGGAAAACGGTGTGATCTGTGGCTGCCACTCCGTGTAAAACACCTAGGCGTATTAGATAAAGCATGACAGACATCCCTTCTGGTCATAGCTGAGCTCGTGTTGGAAAAGGGAGGGAGGAAGTCTGGAAAAGGAGCTGGAAGAAAAGGGTGCTGTGTCCGCAGCTGACCCTGGCCCTCTGCCCACCTGGAGTAGGAGGTGATCGCACGTCACTGGTATGAGGAGATGGCACATGGGCTGGGGTCCAGCCATGCAGGGCAGGTACCCGGGGACTCTGATCAGGAGGGAGATGACGAGGGTCACATCTGGTCTGTGGGGCTCCAAGACTTCCTAGCTCTGGGCTTCTGCTCAGGTTTGCAGCCTCATCTACACAATCGTGTGGCCTGTCAACGTCTAGACCACCTAACGTGGTCTGTGCTGCAAACAAATGTACTGCGGCCAAGCCAGGAGAGACACAAAAGATGAAAGGTACCAGTGCAGACAGTGACGGCAAAAAGGCACAGGTTAATTTTAAAAAGAAACCTCAATGTTTTTAAAAAGATCAGACAGGGTAAGCAGGAGTAGATGTGGTAACCAAAGCACACATTGAATTTTCCTTGTGTAAAATGACTTAGACCAGAGGTGATTTTTTTTTTTTTTTAATTTTGAAGAATTTGTGTAAAAATGAGTGAGGTAACTTGGGAGACTAAGCCTAAGTCTAAGCAGGAAACTCCCAGGGTTTCACACGCGTCTCATACACACATCCTGGGAGCAGTGTCCCGCAGTATCCTAATGCTGCTGTGCGCAGACCTTCACGCATGACTCAAGCCAGGGCTTGGCATGTTGCAGGTTTCTCAGTGATGTGGATGTCAGATCTTCAGGGCTACACTTCTCCACCTGTACAAGATAACGTCCCAGAAATTACCTAGGCGGTAACAGAGAGCACCATAGGGTGGACGACACAAGAGATTGAAAGACTTGCCCCAGAACTGGGTATTCCAGGAGAATCGTACCGCTTATCCAGAAAAAAATAACTTACCCAGTGAGCAGAGCGAGACGATTTACCATGTGCTACTCAAAGGGATGATGAAGGATGAAGATTTTTCACAATTCCGGAAAGATGTGAATCTGTAGACTTAGAAAGTACAGCATACCCAAAGTGTGGTTAGAAACCAAAAGTGCACATTTTGCTAAATCATAGATGAGATGTTGATGGAGACAGCGCACAAAGAAAGTGCGCCTGTGAAGCAGTTAGGCTTGAGATCTGACTTGCTCTCTAATTTCTCGGCATTCCTGTAATGACTTCCATGTTCGCTGTTCTGGTCCCCAGTGCAAGGCTGTGGGGCTTGTGTGTCTCTTCCTGTTGTGTTGTTCCTGTTGATTTTCCCTGGGTTCACGTCTCGTTATGCAGTGGCTGTATCATTTGGGAATTTATCTTTATGAACAACAGAGGACTAGGATGAAGTTGCCTCTCCAGAGAGGACTTCTTTCTGTGCGCTTCGGCCAGGTGTCTGGTGGCCTTACCTGTCTGGGAGCTTCTGAATCCAGGTTCTCTGCCATGGTGTGTTAGTCCATGCAGGTGGCAGTGCACAGGACTGCATGACCCCCTTCCCTCGAGCTCGGCTGTCCCCCAGGATCTCCTCTGTGTCTCCTCACCCTGCCAGGGACCTTGGCTATGGACTGCCCCTGCGTTCGTGCCCTCCAGCTGCAGGTCCTCCGTGACTCTGACTGGCCCCACACACAGTTCATCTGCAGATGGAAGGACCCCAGGGCACCACTTACAGTCCTCGGATCTTTGCAGGGGGGGTGGATCTCTGGCATTGGAAATGAAATGATTTGGTGTCGCTGGTTTAGATTTGCAGAGATTTAGAGTTATCTTAAGACTGAATGCAGATCACCGTGGGATACTACAGAGTGGTCTCTTTATCATCCTCCGTTGGATGACACTTCTTCCTGGCTTTTTATCTGTCACATGCATCAGGTCTCCATCGAAAGCTCTAAAATAATTATTCCTTATTCTGGTGATCGGACATATGGCTTTGTTAGGGATTCTTGGAAGGTCTTGAATCTCCTTCTAACTAAAAATCAATTTGAAGCTGTGTAAATGATTTAATTTTTTTAAAAACATAGAGGACATTTTTACTCATTAGTACTTTGATCTGCGCCTAGGTGGTAACTGTGGGATTACAGCCTCCCCACAGAGGGGAAATGGGGAGCAGCACCGCATACCCCGTTACCCTCACTGTGCCTGTTTAAGCGTCTCGGGTTGGTAACAACCCCCTCTCAGAGCAGCCTTTGCACGGTTTTCGCACGGCACTCAGGTCACCCACTGCCCACATCAGATTTCGGGACTAGTTCTTGTTCAGCCTTTGGGTATTCCCTTGACACCAGGACCTATTTGCGTATCTCTGGCTAAGGATTGTCTCCATGACTCTTTCAAAACTTAATTTGGGGTGCAGTCTCTGCTTTCCCTGTGCCGTGCTTCACAGTGTCCTGACCCTGGGGGTGGCAGCAGCTGAGGTTTGTGAGTGGTGCCGCGGCTGGCCAGGCCGGTGCTCAGCTGTGCTGCTGATTCTTGGGATTGGCCAGGAGTTCAGTTCTCTGTGGACCAGAAGGCACAGGCCCCACCATCGGAGCCCAGGGCCCTGGGGAGGTGAGGGCAGGTGGCAGGTGGAAACTGCCATCCCGGGCTGCAGTGAGAGCCAAGCTTTGTCTTCACAGGTTCTAAAACCACTGTGCAAAGAGGTTTAGGGCTTTATGTCTGCTAAATTTCTTTCTGATAGGATTCACCAGAGTGGCTTTGGTTTCCCTCTTCTCTCTTCGTATTTCGGGAAACCTTTCCTCCGGAGGCTGGGGTTCTGAGTGGGCCATCCTGCGTGTACACAGATGGCATCATTCAGCATCCTTCAGCCATCTGCAGCGTCAGCCTAGTCTGCTCACCGGTGTCATCTCCCAGTTATACAAGGATGAGTTATTAAAGTCAGACTCTACGTTCATGTATCATTTGGGGTAAATGTTAGAGTAAAACAGTGATTTATTTGATCACAACAGTTTTATGCAAAGAACATTTAGTTTTTTTCCGCCTCTCCTTGCTGCACTTCATAGTCTTTGGCCTTGAGGTGAACATAGTGCCTGGTCCTGAGCGCAGTCTGAGGCCCCAGATCTGTGGGGTCCAGGAGGGTCCTGGTGGTCATGGGGTCACATGACCACACAGGAGATGCGGCTGCGTGCCCTGCTGTGCTTAGGGTGGGAGGCTGGCCGGGGTGGACACTGGTCCCATGTTCTAGAAAGAGGAAAGTCCAAGCAGAGGATGGGTGGGGAGGCAGAGCTGGAGGAATAGAGGCGGGAGGGAAGGAGGAAGCGATGAGTGACCAGGACAGGGAGCCGGGCTGAGAGCAGGAGGGTGGGAGGGAGTGATGGTCCTAGGAAAGACTGCAGGGCAGCTGGGATGGGGCGCCGTGGGCAGGAAGTCACAGATGAGCCTAAGGGGAGCTATGGCTATGTGTGGCTGGGGAGCCACCCCTCCTGTGGTGTAGACAGCAGACTGAAGGCAGACAGGGTAGTCGTGCATGTGGGCGCGAGGTGGCCACCCAGCAAGAGGACTGTGACCGAGACCATGGTGGCAGGAGGGGGAGAAAGCAGAGGATTGGGGTTCAGTCCGGAATGGGGTCTAGTCAGGTGCCTGCCCTGTTCTGCCTGAAGGGCCCAGTAGGAGTGAGCCCCAGGAAACAGCAGGACTGAGCCCCAGGGTGGGACAGGGGCCGAGTACAAGCAAAGGTGGGTGCCAGGGTGCCAGGAGAAAAGGGCGCTGCTGATTGCAGTCCTCAGCCTACGCCCCCATCAGGATGCTTGCTTGAGTGTCAGTGCATGTGACACTGGCAGAGCTGCAGAGAAAACCACGTCCATGCCGTATCCATTGTCTTCGTTTCCACCCACTCTCAGCCCATCCTTCCATCGCTTTGCTTAACCAGGAAAAGTCTTCCCCCGGCCTCGGGTTTACCTGGCACATTGGTGCCCCTGGGGTTTAATGTCAGTGGGCCACACCTCATCTGGACAGCGCCGGGCAGTACACACCCAGTTTATTCTCCCCAGGGCCCTCCATGTCAAGCGTGGCTGTCCACAGCACCCTAAGGCCCTAGGCTCCTGCCCTGCATTTACCTTGCTGCTCCTCGGCCTCCCCTCAGCCTCCACCGTGGCCGCACACCGGAGCCGTCTAGCCAGCACAGCCTCGCGGCTGTGCTATGTGCAATAGACCTATCATAGCCTGTGCCTGCGTGGAGAGCCCACAGCACTGCTGTGTGGCTCAGGCCCGTGCTGGCCTTCAGGAGGGCGGGTGTCCTCCTCAGCAGAGGTGTCCTCCCAGCAGGTCCAGGGGCCCTGGCGCCCCAACCCACAGGGGGCTTGGTGTCAGCTCCAGGTGCCTCCAGGGCCCCGCACTGTGATTGGGGGAAGGGGGGGAGGACAGAGTCCAGCAGTGTCTTCAGGCTCCAGAGAGTGCGTCACCTGCTGAGCCTGCCCTGTTGCCCTCACAGCCAGATCAACGCCCGGCTGGACGCCATCTCTGAGGTGCTGTACACAGGGTCCAGCGTGTTGGGTCAGATCGAAAGCCAGCTGCAGAAGCTACCTGACCTGGAGCGGGGCCTCAGCAGCATTTACCACAAAAAAGTAAGTGTGACCAGGGTGGGAACCACTCACCTTGCTGAGCCTCCTGTGGGCACTGTATGCTGAGGGGGCTCTGCAGCAGCTCTGGCATCACTGCATTGCCAGCAGTGTTGTAACACGGCACAGGCAGGGGGTTTTACAGACCTATTGGCACATCAGGGGAGTCAGAAGCAGCATGTTGGTTTTTACCACTTAATATTACTGCTTAAGTGATAGCTCTGATGAGAATTTTCCACACAGGGAAATAATCCACCATCAGGACATTGCTGAAATGTTAGAAAGATGGGTGTTAAGTTTATAATAATCGAAAAGAAACCAGGTTTTAGATGCTTTTCCTCTGGCAGAGGTCGCACACATTCCTTCCTGGGTTCCCTGCCACCCCTCCGCCCTGGGAGATACTGCTTCTCTCACCCTCGTCCTGCATTTGCTCACATGGGCCCGGCTGGGAGCAGGGGGCTGTTTTCAGCTTGCTCACCAGGCCAGAGTTTGCATTCAAGCCCAGTCCTGACTTTGGGTCTGTGGTGGTGACTTTTGGGTGTCAAGTGCCTGTGGCTACTGCTTATTGAGTCATCCCCCCGCCCAGCTCCCGTTTGCTGCTGCTGCTGCTTTTTTTTTTTTTTTTTTTTTTTGGTACTGGGGCTCAAACTCATGACTTTGCGCTTGCCAGGCAGGTGCTTGTGCAGCTGTGCTAAACCCTCAGCCCTCTTGGTTGCTTCTTTGCACAAGCAGATTTTATTTTTGGCTCCAACACAAATCCTTGCCAATTTAGCAACACTGTTGTCGAAAGATCTTTATATGACCAGGCTTTAGTGTGGCCAACTTTTTATTAGTGTTTACTTTTTTGAGGCCTTTTTTACCCTGAAAGTTTTGTGGGGATTAAGTCCTGCTGGAGAGCACTGGGGATACCCAGGAGAGTTTGTTTCTCTGTCTGCTGTGCTGTTTTGCTGACACTTGCCGAAGCTGAGCTGAGTTTTATGGTTGACTCTGAGGTCACATAGGTGCCACATCCCTGTTTCTCTGTGGCAGCCGGGTGCCTAACAGTGCTCCTGTGTTGCACTGCTCTGGCAGACAGCATGTCGCCAAACCTGTGCCTTCTTGCAGGGAGAGGCAGGAAGAGCTTAAGCTCCACCCTGGCCTGGGTGGCTCAGCAGCTTGGCGAGAGCCTGTCTCAAAAGAAGTCATGGAAAGGGCTGGGGTTCTAGTTCAGTGCAAAGGCCTTGGGCCCCCAAGTCCTGTAGAGAAGAAAAATGGACATGACACTTCAGAGACCTTTCCTTCACAAAGAGGAAATGGACGCTGAGCTCGGATTCTCTGGGTTACAAATTAAAAGAGCAAGGCCACTGTGTCTAAGCCATCAGGGTGGCACTGCCAGGCCTGCTGCTGTGACCACTGCTGCTGTGATCTTTGTTGCCTCTCCTTAAACCCACTGTGTGTCTGCCCCTGTGAGTTTTGTGCATTTATAAAGGTTTCCAGGCTCTGCTAGCAGTCACAGTCTAATTCATTTAGAGTGTAACCAGTGCGCTGTGTCAGGAGGACTTGGTTTTAGAGTTTCAAAGTGGCCTCCCTGAGCAGACTGGGACTCACCAGAAACTGTCCCTGTGCTGTCTCATGTTTGCACAAAGAGCAGCCTGGGAAGGGGTGGGAGCTTGGGGCGGTGCAGCCTCAGTGTGCAGCCCTGACTGCTCCGCTCTGAGTGAGCCCTGGCACAGGCAACACTGAAGAACACCTCCGCTGTCTGGAAGGTGGAGAATGCCACAGGAGTCACACGAGTGGGTACTGTGGGGAAAGTGTTGGAGAACCCATCAGAGCTGGCCCTGGGTGAAATCAAACTTCTTTTGACCCTGAAATTTCAAACTGGCATCATAGAAAAGAGTGCTTGTCACGGAGATGCTTGCTACCTGCTGGAGGGCAATAGCTGCCTGCCAAGGTTGGAGGATTCACAGAGGGTACAGCACTGTGCAGATGCCAAGAGGGGGGTTTATGGTTTTGTTTTGTTTTTTTAACAGGGTTTGATAATTTTATTTTTTTTGAGACATGGTCTTGCTACATCGATTTCTGGAGTTTTGTGGGCAGGAGTCCCCTGCTCAGCCAGGAAGAATCCAGAGCCCTGCCACAGTAGGACATGCCATTGTGGCTGAGACTTGCGGCTGAGTCCTGAGTGATCTCACAGGTGTTTGCTGCTGGCCGTAAGAGGAGTGGGTCATCTGCCTTGTGTGGGGTGCTTAGTCCCTTCCCTGCTCCCCTGAATACTGGCTGAAGAAGCTCAAACACAAGGTGTTTAGCCCTGAGTTAGCCTTCCCTTGGCTCCTGCTGCTCACTTCAAAAATGAGCCTGGCATGGTGGCACATCCCAGCAGTTGGGAGGCTGAGGCGGGAGGATCGCTGCAAGTTTGAGGCCAGCCTGGGCTCCAAAGTGAGTTCAAAGCCAGCCTGAACTGCATAGTGAAACCCTATCTCAAAAAGACAGACCAAAAAAAGCTCTCTCTTCTCTCTCAAATTATAATAATCATATGTAAGATTATTATCTAAAATTATACTGAAGCAGACATAGTAGTGTGGGCCTGTAATCCCAGCTCTCTGGGAGGCTGAAGCAGGAGGATCTCATGTCCAATCTTGAAAAATGAGCAAGTTCTCAATTTAGCAACTTAGTGAGACTTTGTCTTAAAAAATAAGAAACAAGGGCTGGGAGGGCCTGAGTTCAATTCCTACCAAAGCCATTTCCACTGGAAATGTTTATCTTTGCTTCTTTACCTTCCTTAGATTGCCATTAAGTGACTGTTGACTGAAACGCTTTCATGCCATGCTCTGTGCAGACGTCCAGCTGCCTGTTTTGGCCTGCCTGTCTTGGCCCGGGGGGCTGTGTGAGCTTTTCAGGAGCGCTTTGAACTGGATTCTTGTATAGTTGGACCTGACTTCTCATTTTCCTTCCTAATTCACTTCACTCCTGTGGCTAAGGATTGTTAGTTAGATTAATGTTCTTAGCACTGGTCTGTTTTACTGATACCACTTACCATGCTTTATCATCAATGTAACTAAAATCCTTTTCATCTCAAGAGGTTTCTCTTTATTGGGTGTTCACTCAGTTTCCTGGAGAGCTCTTTCCCGGAGCTCCTGGCCCAGCGTGGCGCAGAGCGCACCCTGGTGAGTGGAGGCTCCAGAGGCCTGCTGCAGGGACTTCTCCCCACTGTCCCCACTTCAGGGCGGGGTGTATAGGTCCCAGAAGCCTCTATAAGCAGAAATGTTTTGAACACTTAAGAGCTGAAAGTCTCATTTCCGTTCTCCCATCTGATTGGCTGTGCAGTTTGGGTCATAGATTGCGGTGCTGCTCATCTGGAGAGAGCAGAACCAGCAGGAGGTGGGTGTAGTCACGCAGGGGCACATCAGGCAGCTTACAGGGTCGGTAGGGGCTCGTAGTGACTGTCCACACTAGGAGTTGTGGTAGGAGGGTGCCTCCTGACCCACCCCATGTGGGCGTCGTGACCGAGGTCGCCATCGCCGTCCTGTACGATGGTGCAGTGTGGTTTGCTGGCTTCTGGTATTGATGACAGTTGGCCCAAGCTGGTCTGGTTCTGAGTCTTTGTGTGGCTTCTCTGTTTCCTCACCTGCGCTGGGCATTGGAAGACGTTCTGTTTTGTCACCAGCGCTCTGAAAGCTTGTGGTCCTTTGCTGTGATTGTTTGTTTTCATTCACTGTATTTTGCCTTTCAGGGTAGCAGCTTAAATCTTGCAGTTAGGGCTATTTTCCTGTCTCTCCATTCCCTCAGCATTGTCCTTCGTGTGTTTGAAATAGACCACATAGCAAAGAAATGGTAAACAGTGTGTTTTAAAATGAAAACTACCAACCACATATGGGCTTTCTCCCCTGCTCACATCATTTTCTTATAGCCTGAAAATATTTTACGTGTTTAATCTCATTAGGAAGTTTAGGGCACCAACTAGTGAGCTAGCTGGTCCAGAGTTTTGCCTTTATTCTTATTATTTTTTTTTAATTTTTTAAAAAGATTAAGATAAAAGGGAACATAACAACACAGGTCAGAACAGAACAATTTGAGCAACACAGTATTTCACCACAAGACAACTCAACATAACAGTTGTTACCATAGTGTCTCTTTCCTTGAAATATTTGAGTGTGCCTTACTATACTGTATTATCAAACATAACAAGACAGTGTAAAACCATTCAAAAGAATGAAAGTATTACAGGGTATTCAGAACCAACTAACAGAAAACGAACAATCTCCTTGTCTATAAAAATTTGTTTCTATTATCACATATAATAAAATCCAATAAGATACAACATGATAAAACCTATGGAGACAGAAGAACAAAAGCTTGGTGGGACTTCAAAACAAGATGATATTAAATCAGCACAAGCTATTATAGTGTCTTGTTTTCTTCAAAATAGCTGTTCATATCATCACAGACAATAAAATCAAACAACCCAGAATAAAACCATTCCAAGTAATGAATGAAAACATTATAAGACTTCAAAGCAATATATTTGGGAATCATGATTACCACATACTTTTATGTATTCTTACCATTTCTTACACTGGGGAAACTATTCATTATTTATACATGTGAGTTTGATTTATTTCACTTATGAGTATGGTCTCAGGCTGCATCCATTTATTTATAAATATCTGAATGTGATCATTCTTTATAGCTGAGTAGTACTCCATTGTATAAAAATACCACATTTTTCTTTATCCATTCCTCAGTTGATGAACACTTAGGTTGTTTCCAAGATCTGGCTATTGAGATTCCATCTCACTCCTGAAAGAATGGCCAGGATCAAGAAAACTACCAACAACAAATTTGGAGAGGCTGTGGGGAAAAAGGAACTCTCCTGCACTGTTGGTGGGAGTGTAGACTGGTACAGCCATTGTGGAGGTCAGTCTGGAGATTTCTCAAAAAGCTGGGATTGGAAGTCCCATTTGTTCCAGCTATTCCACTTCTAGGCATATTCCCAGAAGAACTGAAAACATCATACCACAGTGATATATGTACACCCATGTTTACAGCAGGAAAATTTGTAATAGCCTTTATTCTAATTGTAAGATATCGCTCATTAGATCTCACCTTCCATGTCTTATACTGTGTTGATAGAAGACACTTCTCCCCTCAGTGTTCCACCCAAGAGTTCTTCCTGATCGTCAAAACCCTGTGTCACCTGAAGTCCGAGTTACAAGCTTTGACACCTGCGGTGAGTTCGCACGTACAGTCAGACTTGCTCCAGGTGTGTATTTTAGAAATCCCGGAGCTGCTCAATCCAGTGGAACACTACTTGAAGATACTTAACGAACCAGCTGCCAAGTAAGTACTAAGTGCTTGGTTCTTCCTTTCTGGCAGTGAGTGTAAACCAGTGTGTGTGCCTCTGATGTGGGGCTTCTCCGGCTTCGCTAGAGTAGTGATAGAAACGGCCTGAATGCAGTGCGGTGAGGCATGTGCTTGGATACTGAACTTCTGCATTACTCTGAATGCAGCTGCTTTGCAGTCTGCATGGAGGCAGCTGCCCGCGGGACAGGTGCAGCACTTCTGCATGCACCCAGCCAGGAGGAGGAGAGGAGCTGGGCAGTGCCGGGCAGCAGCGGCGGCAGCTTCCTGTGCTCCTTTCCCGGACACACAGCATCCGTCTTCTGTGTAGAGCTTAGATTTGGAAGCTCCCCTTAGGAAGGTGGTCACTTCACAGTGCATCCCACAGGAGCCCAGAAAAGAGGCAAGAGCCGTGATGTTTACATTTGTCTTTGTTTTTCGAATAAGCAAATGACAGAGATGCAATTTTACCTCTCGGTTTCAGTGCAGGAATCATAAACTCCCTAGTGAAAATGTTGGGTAATTTTGTCAGTCCTCAGAAGTTGAGAAATGGCACTGTAAATACTGAGTGACAGGGCTGGAATTTACCTTCCTGACTCCAGCCCTTTGGTCTCTCATCATTCTTCAGACAGGAATGATAACTGGTCTCATCGATGAGCTTCAATGTACGTACTGCTTTTTTTTTTTATATTTTAGGATTGGGGATAAAACTGAATTATTCAATGACCTTTCCAACTTCCCTATAATAAAAGAGAGGAAGGATGAAATTCAAGAAGTCACTGTTAAGATCCAAACACATTTGCAAGAAATACGAAAAATCCTAAAAAACCCATCAGCACAGTACGTGACAGTTTCAGGACAGGAGGTAACGTCAAATGCGCTTTCTCTTCCAGCAGCTTACAGTGAGTAGAAAAGGTATTTTAATGTAGGCAAGAATTTGAGGATGGTGTCTGTGTATCAGTTTTTAGAAGTTTCTGTTTTGTTCCTTGGAAATATGTTGTAATAACTTGTTTTCATAGGAAATGTTTTGCTAACCGTTTTATTAGTCTCATGATAAATTCATGCAGCTTAATGTTATATGGGTCTTGGTGTTCTCTTTTGAAATTATGTAACAGAAAAACCTTGATTATTAGTACTCTAGAGAATTCACCTAGCCTGAGACCAGTACAGAGATCTGGCTTCAAGATGGTGAAATGGTCTAAAAGAAAACAAAAACAGAACTATCCTGAAGTCCTGCACTTGGTGTGTCTTCCATGAGCCTGCCATGTTTTGCGGACTGTATATTGTCCCCAGTTTGGTGTTAACATCTGAATGAGAACCAGAAAAAGATGGAAGCTGCTTTTTCATTGCAGTGCTGGGGCTGAACCCAGAGCCCTGCATTTGGTAGGGAGAGAAAGGCTTTTCCGGTGTGGCAAGGCTTTTGGTCCTCTTCTGAGTCCCGAGGCTCGCCATCTCTGGGTCTTATGTTTAATACAAAGATGCCAGCTGCTGGGATTTGTAAAACTTTACTTTGCTAAAATAGCAAGGTGGGAAAATCATTTTATTCAAGATTTTAAAAAACAGGTATTTTTATTATGGGGAATATTTTAATTTCAAGTCAGATGTCTTTATATTGTGTGTTTTATTGAAAGGTGGCTAATTGAAATAAAGTACTGTAAACAATAGCATGTATTAAAATGTTTATATGTTGGGCATTTAAGAGATGTGCCACTGATTTAAGTTAGCCTGTTATGAGATGTTTTACTCAGACAGATAGTTAATCAAATGTTTATAACAAAAAGTGATTTGACCATTTTAGTCAGGGGTTGCAAGGAGAACAATTACATATAGGACTCATAATTTATAGCATTATTTATAATGGTCACCAAAGGAGTCAGATACACAGAAGTACAGGAAATCTGTGCACAACACTAAAGACCTAGAAAATCTAGCCAAGCCAGGATCCTATGGCAGTGTCCTGCATGAGTCCTGGTGAAGACCTGGAGGCCACGACAATAACTCAGCAAGTCTATTTCACGGATCTGCGCTAGGTAGGCCCACAGGTCAGTGGTGGAAGCTAGTAAGTCTGTGCCAGTGCATAAGGGATCTGTGCCAGCAGGTTGAGGACTCCGTACTGTAGCCAAAAAGTGACATTCCCCCAAAAGGCACCAAAGTCATCCTCAGCAACAAGGTCGCAAACTCTTCTGACAGTGAGAACAGTTGAGTTCATATCAGTAAGCCAGTGACAAGCTTCTCCTGGAGATTAAACGGCACACATCTTCCCCTCCAGAGGCAGGAAGCAATGCTCAAAGTAAGGATCAGCGCTCCCCCAAAGTGAACCACAGCCAATCTCAGCGACAAGGTCCCAAGCTCCTTTGATGTTAACAGCTGAGTTCATAGCAGGGGAACCATGGCAAGCCCCTCCAAGAGAACCAATGGCTCCAAACAACAATAGTGAGGAGAACCCACAACACTACTCTTCTTCTCCAGGTCTCCTTTCATGTTGGCAGCAGTCCTCAGGTGGGCCATTCATGCCCAGCACCATACTGATTCAGTGCAGCTGGTGTTAAGTTGACCACCAGTTACTGATCCACTACAACCATATTTGTGTGATATTCATGATTTCAGTGCCTGGGTATTACCTCCAAACACCAAATACTTGATGGCATCTCTTGTTTCACTATGTGATCATGACATGGTGAAGGAGAAGGAACCTGAGGGCCATGATTCTGGCTCTGTGATGACAATCAGATGACCACAGTGGCTTTGGTATCAGTACTGAGAGGGAGTGGAAGGGGCCTGCTTGGTAACGCCAAGGAAGGCTTCATGGAGCTGCCGGCTCTGCCAGTGAGGTGCGGTGTGACCAGTGGCTGGGGGTCCCCGTGCGGGGGCCTGTTGTGGAGACGACCAAGTTAAATAGGCAATGGCTCGTGTACTGACAGTGACTGGGTACAGTCACCACTTACCAAGCACTCTCGGAAGTTGAGAAGGGAGCTAGTGTTTACATGTGTATCTTACTGATTCTCAGGCCATGTAAAATGGGTTATTCCAGTGTAGCTGGGAAGAAGAGTAAGGTTTGGGTCATTAGCCAAGTTACCCAAGGTCGGCAGGCAGTTCTGGCCCCCGTCTGCCAGGCCCCCTCTGTCTGTCCTGTCACTGTTTTCTTCCAATCACAAATGCCACTCCCAAGAACCATTAGCACCATACGTTTCTGATAAAATCGAATCATTTTAGAGTCTTTACTGCTCCATCTAAAGCAAAGCTTGAGTGTGGGGAAGGCAGTCTTGGGAGCAGCTGGCAGCTTAGTGGTAAAAGTGGGAGGAAATGACCAAGACTTTCATAAGGACTGGTTACTTAGTTAGGAAAGAAGATACGGTATCTTTATCTTCTCCACACCTTAAGTAGGTCAGGATGACAGATTCGAGAAAGGTTCTTCTAGTTATTACCAATAGGATGAATTCTTGTTGGTGTGAAACAGCCTACTTTAGATTTTTACTGCTACATTATTGCAACATTATTTTATAATTTTTTGAGAAACAGTGATTCTATTCATTCAGACACCAAATGAATCCATTTCAGAATTCCTATAGTCTGATTCTGTTTTGGCAACTAAAGGTTTTGGCAAATTTTTTTAGAGTTGCTTAAAAGACTAAGGTCAGGCCCATCCAATTGGATTCTTCTGAGAAGTTGGGAGCTCGGGCTCCATATGACACCCTTCCCTGCTGTCTGAAATTCCTCTTTGCACATACAGCTTTCCTGACACCTGTAAAGAACTACTCAATGGAAGCCCGGCTGCATAGGGCATGGATCCTATTATTACCAGCGGTGGGCGAATAAGCGTGCCACACTCTGAGGCCGGGCTGACAGTGCCCGTTTGGGCCCTGTCCCCAGTTCCATTGGGCTCATTACCATGCCCAGCCTTACCGTGTGGAGACTGGGAAAGTGTCAGCTCAGAAGAGGCACAAGAAGGAAGAGACTCTGGCACTGCCCCAGGTCCCTGTCTCTGTGGGCTCTCTGCCATCCTTTAAGCCTGTGGAGAATATCTCACTCTTAAACACAGATACGGGCAGTGCGTAGGGCAGTACTAACAGGAGCAAGTACAGGCAAAGGAAAAGGAAGGACATTCTGGGAATAACCTTCGGGAAAGTTTTTATTAATTCAGAGCGTGTGGTACATCCAGGAACCTGTTTTGTGTGTTCCAAGTGTGGGGAATGTAAATCTTTTAAGTAAACAATATGTGAAAATGTGTAGCAAAGGGAGAGCCACTGGGAGAAGAGAGGGTCAGGTTTGGCACTGGGAGACCCAGGGCAGGTGCCAGGGCAAGTGAGGCCGTTGGCTGGCCAGCCCGGCACCCGAAGAGTGAGCATGGCCGACCGCAGTGGACATGAGGTTTGAGTTTGAGCAGGGCGCTAGCCCTGGTGCATCAGGAGCAAAGCAGGAAGGAGAGAGGGGCACGGGAAGAGTTGCCGGGAGATCCCTCTGTAGTTTCCGGGCAGCATGCAATTTCCAGTGTTACTAAAAGGCCCAGTGCTGTGGGTCCCCTCAGATGCCACCCCTGTGCCTCCAGCACCCGTGTCCTGTGAACTTCACGGCTGTCAGAAGCGGGGCTGGCATCCCCACTCTGGGGAGTTCTGGTGATCAGAGACTCGAGGACGCTGTGCTGAGCCTGTCCTGCATAAAGGCAACTCGTAAAACAGGACACTGTGTCCTCATCTGCTTTGGCACTGTGTGACTCTTGGCTCTCCCCTGGCCAGAATGACCACAAGAGAGAAACATTTTGAATCAGTTTAGCACATCAGGGCAGCCTGGACCTCGCAACTAAAGATGTTTCGAGAAGAACCTGGAGAGCTGCTGCAGGAGGTGGCAAGAGCGTGGGATGTGTGGTGTGTGCAAGGCAAGGGAGGAGGGTCTTGGGAGGGTTCATGGCGATGCGGCCTTTAGTGGAGCAGTTACTTTAAAAACATTCATCACAGTTTCCAGTCTCACCACATGCAGCTAGTGCGGCATGAAGAAAGCTCGTGGTGATGCTTTAGGCGGGGGGCCCTGGCTGGGGGCCTCCAGCAGGTCACCCTGGGGCTTGGGCAGCAGGGAGGTTGCTCACCCCACTCCATCTTGTACAGTGGTGGTTCTGTGCAGCTGACTGGAGTGATGGTGGCCCAGAGAGATCTCTGATGGTACAGAGGATTCTGTGATTCTCTTCCCATTTTTCCGCCTCTCATCACCACACGCCTGTCCTGTCCTCCGTGCACTGCTGTGGACTCTGGGTAGTTGTCATGGAGCTGGGAGCTTCTTCCCCAATACCACCAGTTATCATGGCCTGGTCAGGCCCACAACTTCCCAAATGAGTAGACTTCGAAGGCTTAAACAAAAGAGACACATGGTACGATTTTACAGGAAGGAAAACCCTCAGCAGAATTTGAGATTCTGAGGGCTGAGACAAAGCTTTTCTGGGCGCCCCATATTTATTTGATTTTCAAACAAAGGGACAGGATACTGAGGAAAATGCAGGAACTGAGCAGCACCTTGGAAGTCAGTTCATACTCCTCAAGGTAGTAAACTGCTAATCTAGGAGAACTTGCTTAGCTCCAGGTTGACATTTACAGCAGGACTGAGAGCAGGAGTGAGACGCCTGCAGATGCCGTCTGTGTGTAGCTAACTGGGGTTGGAGCCAGGCGTCCTCAGCTGTGGCCTTGTCCTGTCCTTTGAGGCATCATAGCATCACAGGCCACTGCAGGCCTAGCCAGGACCAGTGATTTGCAGAGGCTCACTTACTAGGAATCCGCTGCCCGTCTTCAGACAAGGGGCCTAAGCTGGGACAGACTCACAGGTAAACACAGAAACCAGTTGGTTACCTTGAAATCCTGCTCAGTGGTCTCCTCGGTTACTTTCCATTTCTGGAGGGGCTGCTAGTGTTTGCCCTTGGAGTTGTGTAACTGAGTGTCTCATGGCCTCTCTGTTCTTGAGGGCATTGTTATTAAAAAATTTTTGGTAAGTATGAAAATTGGCAAAATCAGCCATTAATTCCTGTTGTAACTAATGCAAAAGCCACAATGATTCTGTTAATGGAAAATAAATTTATAGCCAGGTGATATTGCTAGTGTGACTGTCATAAATACCTAAAACTATGTTTGTGTTGTAATTGTGAGGAAAAGTCCCATAGCCATTCTGGTGTGAGAATCTCACAAAGGGGGAAGGGAAGGTGGGCAGAGAGGGGGTCCTGGGAGCAGACACCCAGACTCTCTGTGAGAGAAATCATTTCTTTTGGCAGGTAGAGCAGCAGAACTTCTTTATGCAAATACTCATAGATTTGGGTTCCCTGTTCTGAATCTATCGCAAAAAAATCCTGTTCTGTTCAGAACAGAAGAGGGCCCATATTTCAAGCCAGCGTGACATGTGATGATTGAATACTTAAAAGTTTTGTCATAGAAGTTGAATTTGAGTGGTGTAATAGTACTTTTTTTTTTGGTATTGGGGATCGAACTCATGATCTCACAATTGCCAGGCAGGTACTTATGCTGCTAAGCTAAATCCCCAGTCTGAGTAATAGCATTTTTAAGATAAGTGGATACTAATAAATAAAACAGGCTATTGCTGAAAAAAAAATCACTACTCTTAGTACACATACACTATTATAAGCACGAAGGCCCCAACTTATATACTTTATGACAAACTTTTGCACAGTACAAGTTGTGCTTTATCATAATTAATCAAGTGTGCATTCAGACATATAAACTCTGTCAAGAATAACACTAGGTTTTCTTTGCATGCTTAGAATATTCACCAAAATGCTGCACTACAGTGGACGAGAGTGCTTACCCATTGAAATGCCTAACTGTTGGTTGTATTTGTTTATTCTAGTTCTTGATTGAAGTAAAGAACTCTGCAGTGTCAAGCATACCAGCCGACTGGGTTAAGATTGGAAGGTAGGTGTGGAGACCACTCTCTTATGACACATTACGGGATGGGTACAGCTGGTGTGCCGACCGGGAGCTGCTGGCTTAAGGTGGCTTCTCTCCCTTGGTTTCTGTAGGGAGGTTTTGACCAAAGGGAAGGTTTGAAGTTATTTTATCATTGAATTTAAAATATTTTTCAAAAAGCTGTCTTACTTTTATAAGCCTTTTTGTTCATCCATAGCTTACTGTTTTATCCTGTCACTTGAGAGTATACAAGGAAACCACCTGAGTCACCCTCAGCTGTGAGGTTAATTGGGTCGGTCGTGATGGTGCGCACCTGTAACCCCAGCCCTCTGGAGGCTAAGGCAGGGGAAGGCAAGCTGGAGCCCAGTCTGGGTACTTAGTGATTTAAACAAGACCCTGGTGACGTAAAAAGGGCTGGGGACGCAGCTCGCTGCGAGGCTGAGTTGAATCCCTGGTGACAACAGCAGCATGAGGTGGCCTGGGTTGCTGAGCTTCTGGCCAAATTCTGCTTCTGACGTTGGTTTCCTTGGAGGGGCTGGAGCTTCCTGCTTCTTCCTTTCCTAACACTTTCTGCACTCCTGGCCACAGCAGTTCTTCACATCTTTTTGCAACTCGTATCCTGAATTGATGAAAATGAGTTAATCCACACTGCATTTGGAGCCATGGTAATGCTGTCTTCTCTCCTCAGTCAGTGTTCACCTCCAAAAGCAGCCCCTTTAGGGAGCAATGTTAGGAAAGTGTGCACTGGGCTGGCATGTGATTGACCCTGTGTGCTCCTGTCCCCGGGCTTGACTGGCTCCATCACTGTGCTGTCTGACCAGCAGGGCAAATGCACCCCTACCCAAGGCAGCCTTAGAGACTGCAGGCAGTGAGGGTAGAAGGCATGCCACGTTATATAAGGATCCATCATTTTAATTTAAAAGCTATTTATCCTCTGTTGCCTTGGTGCGAGCGAGGGCTTCCTCCGCGCTGACCATCTTCCTCTGTTCCCACAGCCAGTCACCATGTGTGTTCATGGCCTGGGGACACAGTCGGCTTCCTGTGCCCATTGGCGTTCCTCTGCCACTGCTGCCTCTGGAAAGGTGCCCTGTGGTCATTCTAATCGTCACAGCAGGCTGTCTAGAGCAGGACCCAATGTCTAGGAAATGAGCAGTGAGATAAATGGGCATGAGGTCTGTGGTCCCACACGATGCCACAGCAAGACCAGCCTGAGTGTCAGTGTCCCCTGGGGAGTCAGCAGGTAGAGGCAGTGGATGGCAGAGAGGTCTGGGGGCCGCATCCTATTTCAGGCTGTCCTGTGGCTGTTGGGACTGATAGTAGGGTCCTCAGGTTGTCATTGGCCAGATCCTGACCATGAAAGGATACACCAGGCTGAGTAGAGGTGATGTGACCTGACCATGTGTTACGGAGACCAGCACTGTTCCACAGCTGAGGAAAGCCTTGATGAGGGAGAGCCCGTCTGTGGCGCCTGTAATCCCAGCACTGTGAGGCAAGGCAGGAGGATCAGAAGTGCTTGCCCTTCCCGTGCTGCTGAATGACTCACTAAGACTTCCAAAAGTTAACTTCCAAAAGTTAAAATAAATTAAAAAGGGCTGGGGACATAGCTGCATGCGAAGGCTCTGAGTTCAGCCCCCAGGTGTGCGCGTGCACACACACATGTGCTTACACACACAGAGTCCCAGCAGCCTGGGCCTGGACTCGCTGCCTGCTCCGCACTGTGCCCATTGTCTCCTGATGCCTGTGTTACTGCTCTTCTCAAACCTCCCCCTTCCCTTCCCCTGCGTCGCCCCTCACACAGAGAAGAAAATGGTGAGAACAGTGACCTGCCCGAGTCTCCGCCTCCTGGCTTGTTCCGTTCCTTTGAGAATTTGCTTCTGATTTTTTTAGAAAAGTGTTTCATTTAGCACAAAGACTGAAAAGCCTTGCCTGTGAATAAAGACACTGACCTCTGCCTCTGCCACCCAGGGACGATCCGCAGTGCATTCCGGAAGCTTCCCGGACATGGAGCCTTGAGTGGAAGCTGCAGTGACACTTTTCTATTCACAGCTCGGCTTTCAAGGCCCCGCAGAGCTGTGAGTCACGCTCTTGGGACCTTGACTTCCTTCTCTGCTTCTCCCCAGCACGAAAGCCGTGAGCCGCTTCCGCCCGCCGCTAGTCATGGAGAACTACAGACACCTGCAGCAGCTCCGTGAACAGCTCGTCCTGGACTGCGGTGCTGAGTGGCTGCGCTTTCTCGAGTGAGTTCACAGCCACAGCCAGTGTCTGACCTCCCACTCTGGGAAGCAGACAGGACGTTTCTACTCTTGGAGGAAACGTGGAGTGTGCTGCTGGCGACCACTGTGTAGCAGGAGCAGTGAAGGCTGTGAGCCCGGGTTTCTTTTGAATCCACTGATAGACCTGATTGTTGCTGCATTGACAATTTGCTCCTACTGATGTTTCAAGACTCAGATTTTGATTCTCTCTCTCTCTCTCTCTCTCTCTCTCTCTCTCTCTCTCTCTGTTTTTAAGACAAAGGCTCACTTTGTATTGCAGGCTGACCTCAAACTTGGGGTGATCCTACCACTTTAGCCTCCCAAGTGCTGGGGTCACAGGTATGAGCCACTTCCATACCCTGCTTTTCTTTCTTCTTAAAGACTTCATGTCTCTTTCAGAGTTGCACATGGATTTGTTGTTTTGTTTTTATTCTCCTTTTAATTTTTTTACACTCTTATATGTAAGTGTTTCCTTTTGTTTTTTATTTTGAAAAATGTTAAAGCTATGGATAAATTGAAGTGACACTCGGTCCAGCCCTCGTCTAAGTTTATTAGGTGTTCACTTTTTGCCATGTCTGACTTCTCTCTCACTTTTGATGCACACATGCACATGCACTCCCCCCCCACACACACACGTTTTCTGACCTGTGTGGTAGGGTGCCCATGCTGTACAGGTGCTTGACATGGTGCTCACCGGCTCAGGCGAGGTGTCACTGAGGTGAACATGATGTCAGGTGATGCCCGCCCCACTGGACAAAGGTTGCCCCTGGCGGACTCCCCATATGTGTTCCCCAGATTGCTTTGATGGAAATGTTGGGGGAATCAGGGCGGTGCACGCAGCTGGGAATGAAAATCTTTCTCAAAGGACAGGTCTGGTTCTGCGCTCTAAAAGATGGAGTGTGTGTAACAAGTGATCTCCTCAGTTACAGATTCTTTTAAGACAAAAAAAAAAAAAAAAAAAAAAACCCCGAGATTATAACATCTCTCTGTAGAGATTCAGATGTTTTTTAAGTGTTTTGCAAAGAATGTTAGCCACCCAGACCTCAGCTGTCAGGAGCTGCCTTCAATGGAGAACGTACCAGGTCTTCTTCACAGCTTTGGAACTGGGACCATGTCTGCATACCAGGGATCCAGCAGGCTGTCTGGGCTGGGGAGGTGGTCACCATGCTGTGGCTTCAGACTTAAGATGTTTGATGGCACAGCAGGTAGAGGCACAGGGCTCTCAGCTTCGGCAGTCTACAGGTTTGCCCATATTTCTAAGTACAGAGAGCTCATTGAAATTTTAGCAAAGTCGGGCAAATGGGCAAAGACCAAGTAATGAAGCAAGCCTCCTTTAAGAGATTCAGTGATGTCTAGGGTGTGCCATAGTATTATTTATATTGTACTTACTGTCTTGGTTACTTTTCTTTTGTTGCTGAGACAAAATATCTGACATTCAAAATTAAGGAAGCAAAGGTTTGCTTAGCTAATGGTTTGTGGAAGTTTTAGTCCATAATCGGCTGGCTCCAAGGCAGGGTGGCATAGCAGCTGGGCAACACTTTTAAGGCAGCAGAAGACACCAAAAGCAGTAAGAGCAAAATGCCGGGAGAGCAAGCCTCTTCTCCCTTATATTGTAAGCAGGGTGCCACAGGGCTGGTGTGGCACTCACACCACCTCCCTGCCCTCCTTTTATATGGGAGGAGGATTACAAAGTGAGGACCCTGTCTCTGCTGAGCCTCCTAAATTTCTAAAGTTCTCAAGTTGACACAGTGTATCAACAACACTACATACTGTTGTGGTGAGAAGGTCACCATCCATAGGAAGCAGGCACTTCATCCCTCCTTGCTCTTTTGTTTTATAACTGAAGTGAGACCCACGGAACCTCTGTCACCGATTGCAGTCTTGGAGTCAGAAGAGCCGTCAGCCCTGTCCTGGGGCGCAGCAGTTAGGGTCTTAGTGGCTGCAACACAGAAGAAGTGAGAATGTGGGGGGAACACCCTCTGGCGTCGGCTTGGGGGGGGGCAGGGAGGGAGGGAGCATCGTGTGTGATGGCTCCTGGCCAAAGGGAGGTGCCAGACAGGAGCAAGTGCGGCAGCCATTGCGATGGGCACTGTGGAGGCCACTGCCAAGGGCCGAGGGAGGTCAGGTCCAAACCCCAAGTTGGAGCAGCGGTGTGAGGTGCAGTCACCAGTCAGCCCCCTGTAGAGTTAGTGACGTGTGATGTCTGAAAAGGGCAGGAGACATGTCCTTGTGTGTGTGATTGGCACAGATCTCCTGTAGGTCACAGATTGGATACAGTTTGTTTTGAACTTAGTTCAGTGAGAAATCAGTGAGGTTCAGTCACTCTGCGTGCTGTGCACAGGGTTTCCAGTTCACAAAGTTAACACAAACAGCTGGACGCCCAGTATTTCCAGTGTCTTTATAAAAGCAATTCATGTGTTTAGAATACTAGAAAACCTACCTGAAGCCCTGTTAATGTAGGAAGTGTCAAGTAGTAAATGCACTAAATCTCAGTGTTTCTAAAATGTGTGTGAGAGACAGACAGACACAGAGAGACAGACAGACAGACATAGAGAGACCGAGACAGCAAGGTTGTTAGGGGCTGCACTGAGTACAGCACCCCCTTCCCCTGGCCCTCCCCTCCCCCCTTTACTTCTCTTCCCCTTCCCTCCTCTTCCTTCCCCCTCCCTTTCTCATCATTCCTTCCTCCCCTTTTGAAGAGGATGAAGGGAAGTGTACCGTGACTTTCCAGAGCCGGCAGGCTGACTGATTCCCATTTCACTTCTCTGTGTGTACCAAGGTGAGGAGAAGTGGGGCTGGGATCTGGAATCACACCTCACAGCCCTGTGAGCACGTGTCCTGTGTGTGCAAGGCCAGGGTTCCATCCAGAGCTCAGGCGATACACAGACAAAACCAGGAACGGTTGCAGTCAGGGCTCTTCTGATTCTCAGGCGAGGTTCCAGCCAGCTTTTCCCCTGGAACTTCCCTGTTGCCCTCAGTGTGAGGACCCCTGTGATGGAGTGATGTGGGTACTTCAGAGGCTCCAGGCAGTGAGGGTGGTTTGACCTCCAGCTTTTCCATTGGGCCTTATTTATAGTCAACTTAGGTACCACTAGAGTCCCTCATTTTCTAGTCTTTTGATGAACTTGTGATTTTTTATCATTTATGTTTAAAACTTTTGTGAAAAGCTAAACAGTACCTTCATCTCTCTGGGAAGCTGCAGAGTTATCCTAAGGATTTAAGCTCAGATATTTTCTCTTTACTTCAAATTATTTTATTCAGGACAGTTAGAAAAGTTTTGGGTCTTTTTTGTAGTATAATTATGTGTATTTTAATGTCCACAGTTGATCGTTACCTACAAACACCAGCAGTGTGCCCAATACTGTATGTGTTGATACAGTGACGTGAGCTGCTGATTAACTCATGCAGAAAGGAACAGCCCACTGTGTATGTGCTTACACTTTTCCTGAGCGAGACTGAGAAACTTCTGGATCATGAGGGTTCACAGTAAAACACTAGAGGCAGTGACTGTAGTCTTTTTGAAAGCAAATCTAAAATTTAATTTTTATGTGCATTGTTAATAAAATACTTCTTGTTGGTTTTTTTCTTGCTTGCCTTTAGCAGGCAGTTTTTACAGTGCGTAGTCAGTGCCAGGACGGTGGCTACACAGTAGGGGTGCAGTGGCAGGTAGGTCAGACAGGCCAGGCGGGGCCTTGGGGATGTGGCCAAGTGGTGGGCAGGGCTTGATGCTGCGGCTCTGGATCAGTAAGGGAGGAGCAGAGGGCAGCTCACGGTGGTACCAAGGCTGCCTGAAATTGAATGCCGTGTTTGCATGAGTCGAAGTGTCACGGTCGGGTAAAACACATAATATGAGTAGTAGACGTTTTCCTTTAGAAACTTTTAAATTTATATAATTCGACCCCAGATGAAGCATCGGCCGCAGTAACCACGTCGTCATATTAAAAGACAAGGTGGTCTCTGAAGTTCCTATGGCCTGCCTCTCCAGCATGCCTGTGCCCTGTGTTCTTGCTGTTCTGTGCTAATAAAGCGATCACTTACTGAAAGCCCGTCTAGGTCTGCAGCAGTCACCTGCTCATCCCGTCACTGTCATCCGTTTCTGCAGGAGCTTCAATGAACACTGTCACTCTCTGTGCAAAGCAGTACGTCACCTAGCAACCGTTGATTGTATTTTCTCCCTGGCCAAGGTCGCTAAACAAGGCAATTACTGCAGGTAATATATTTTTTATCTCCATCTTTTATCTTTGCTTCTGATCAAATGCCATTCAATTAACTTTAGTTTCTTTGTTATAAAATATTACAGTTACTTAAATGTACTAAATTCTTGATTTAAACAACAGCAAATTTCTTTCTTGGTATTATGTTTCCAAGTTCAGTGACAGCAGATGTTTATGTGACTGACTTTATGTGGCCGAGATGCTTTAGTTTCAAAGTTGATGTGCATGACATTGTTACAGAGCGTGAGCGTCCTTATTATTTGGCTTGACTGGCGCACTCTACAGCCTGGGAGCTATACAGTGACGAAAGCTTGGTTAGGGAAGAAGGGACTGGGGGCCAGGCCGGCTGCGTGGTCTTTTCTGCCCTGAGCTGCCCTGCTGTGCTCCATTGGCCTCCAACATGCCAGCACACTGCATTCTCCTTGCAGTAAAGGTGTTAGCGTGAAGTGGGTCAGACTCTTGAGTGTCTGCTCCCACTTTAGGGCACTTTGGTGGGTGGATGGACACGTGGATGGATGTCAGAAAAATCAGGAGAATACTTAGCTCACTGACTTATTTAGAGGATGCAAAAAGCATATACAAAATGTGACTGAAAAATTGCGAATGCTTAAAATTTCTTAAAACTAGAGTACAGTAAAAGGCACTTGCCATGAACCCCTTCATAGTCCTGGCCCTCGTGCAGGACACGCTCATCCCGCTTCCCTGCCGCTGTGCAGCAGCTCTGAGGACATCTTGCCTTGGGGCTGCCAGTGTCCTGAATGGATTTGCAGTGCCGGCCTTTCATGATCATCCTGACTCTGGAAAGAGTGGAAGTGACTTGGGGCCAGTGCTGGTGAAGAAGGGGGACGAGGACACAGCACCGCGGTTTTATGAGCTGCCTTTCTGCTGGGTGGTGCTTGGCAGCAGCAGTTGCAGTACTTTTGGTTGCACCTGGAAAGGATCACACTTCCCGCAGGAAGAACGGCTGCGAGTGGCCAGGCTGATGGACGGGTGCTGCTCGTACAGAGCATGCAACTTTGAGAGTGCTCCGTCTTCCAGTCCAGTACAGGGCATCATTTACACTGAGGCAGAAGTCAGAGCAAGACATTATTTTACCTGAAATATTTTATTACTAAAAATATTAAGTGCTGATAACTGAACTGTGATCTTTATTAATGCGAATGCGTCTTTGATCTCAGACCACAGTGGAAAGGTAAGAACTTGTTGTAAAGGGCAGCTGCGGCAGGGGCCCCACCATGAGACTGAAGTCTGTGCTCAGTGCACAGCATCCCCAGGGCTCGTTTGCTGCGGAAAATCAGTGTTCCTTAGTCTGAACTTCTGTTCCTTCTTTCTTTCTTTCTAGGATAAAGTGTCCTTTGTGCTTGTTTTTTTTCACAGTTTGCACATCCCTGTGTGGCGTTGGTACATAGCGTGGCCCACCCAGTCTGTGCTCATTCCCTTTCCTCCTCTCCTGCCCTCCTTCCTGCGTCTTTGCTCCCATTCCCATCAGAATAAGATCCATCTCCCTACTCCCGGTTGTCTTTCATTTTGCTTTCTATTTATAATTCAGTTTTCACATAGGAGCAAAACCACGTGACAGTTAAGCTTTCGCACCTGACATTGTGATCTACAGGTGCATCTGGTTTTTACTCTTTTTTTTTGTTTTGTTTTGTTTTGTTTTTTGTTTTTATCGGTACAAGGGATCGAACTCACGACTGCCTGCTTGCAAGGCAGGCACTTATGCCACTGAGCTAAATCCCCAGCCCCTGTGCATCTGGTTTTTAACAAATGACTTAAGTTTCTGTTTCTCTGTAACAGCAGCGCTCGTTAAAAACATGTAAACACGATGTATGAACACCACATTTTCTTTATCTGCTCTTCTGTTGATAGACACATAGGCCACCTCCAGGATGCAGCTGTTATCTGGGTGTGCATGGTCATTGTACTGCAGTCATTAACTCCTCTGAGAAGATGGCTGGAAGGGGAAGAGCGGGTGCAAATGGAATTTCTAGTTCCAGTTTTTTGAGGCATTTCGGTACTGATTTCTATAGTGGTTGTACTAGATTACGTTCCTTCTAACTAAGTGCAAGGGTCCTTTTTCCCCACAGCCTCACCAACATTTGTTCCTATCTGATTTCTTGATGATAGCTAATCTTTCTGGAGCAAATGATGTCTCAGTGCTGTTTTAATCTGTCTTTCTCTAATGGCTGGAGATGATGAACATTTTTTTCATGAATCATTTAACCATTTGTACATCTTATTCTGAGAAGCATCTGTTCATTTCACTTGCTCGTTTGTAACTGGGTCTTTTATTTGGAGGGATCTCATTTTCTTGAGTTCTTATATATTCTAGATATTAGTCCTCCAGGGAACAGCAGGCAGTTTTCCCCTGTTCTATTGGCTGCCACTTCAGAGGCTCAGGACTTTTTTTTGCTGGGCAGAAGCATTTTCATTTGATGTGGTCCCATTTGTTAGGTCTCAGCACTGTTTCTGGTACAACTGGGATTCTGTTCAGAAAGCCTGGACTTGTGCTCTCTGCATCTAAGGTTTTGTTTTGTTTTTACAGAGCTGTTGCCGTGATGTTAAGTAGAAACATAATTTCTTTCTGTAGGCCAACTCTGAAAGAAGAAAGGAAAATCCTAATCAAAAATGGAAGGCACCCAGTGATTGATGTGTTGCTGGGAGAACACGACCAGTATGTCCCCAACAGCACCTCTCTGTCAGTGAGTACTGGGTCCCACCACGGACTAAGTAAAATGGCGACACCCACCCCACACTCTTCAGTGTCAAATGAATGCTTTTTATAACTCAGAGTTACACAAGTTTGAGCTTTGGCTTTCAAGGGTATAACTTTAGATCATTACCAAAGATAGTAGTTTCCCATGAAAATTGTCCGCAGATGGAAAGATGTAGCAACTCACAGGGACGCTGTCAATTACTCTAGGTAACCCAATAAAAAGACTTTCTGGTCACAGATTCTCAAATATGCTGATGAGGTCAAAATCCTGCCGTGGTTTGGGAAATTTGTGGGGTCACTGGGAGAGGAGTTCAGTGAGCGGGGGCTCGTGGCTCCCTGTGGAGATCAAGCTTGAGGGAGCTCAGAGCCTGGGAGGAAAGATAGGGGGAAGGATGGGGTTCCTTTCCTCTGTGGGGCTGCTGACCTGTAGGTTTCCAGGTGCAGCTGCGCTGGGAGAGGTGTTTAGAGGCTGCTCTGAGCAGGATGTGGTAGTTGGAGTCCTTCAGGGTGTCCGGGCTACAGGGAGCAGCCGGAGAGGTCCAGAAGAAGGTCCCCATGCAGAGTGGGGAGGGGGAGGGGAGTGGCTGCCTAGGGAGCTGCCTGGAGAGATGGGAGTGAGGCAGGCAGGACCGGAGGTGCTGAGGCCAAGTGGAGAGGGGAGGGGAAGTGTGCAGCCTGGAAGTGGCCACCGCCCAGGAGGATTCAGTCTTTTCCTCAGAGATCCAGAGCACAGGCAAAACTGACCAGAGTTGGAGAAAAGAGAACTTGTGGCTGGGCTGGTGTAGCACAGCGCTGACCAACTGAGTTCTGGATGAAGCATAGGGACAGGGTTTCATGCAGTCACAGGTGGAACTGGAGAGCCCTGCGGGGTAACTGTCGCTCTGTCCAGGTGCTGGAGTCTTGCAGGGAGGAGCCAGACTGGGCCCAGCTGGTAAGTGGGAAATCCTGGTCCTCAGGGAGGAAAGGTGAGGCTGGGCAGGGTGAGGAAGTGAGGAGGGTGTGTCTGAGTGGAAGGTGCCGGTCGCCCTGATGGCCTGCTGACAGTGTGTGTCGCTGTCCCTCTGCTCAGCTGTCAACTGGCACCATGGAGGACGGCAGTTACCTCAGGTCCTCCGAGAGGCCCGAGGCCCAGGTGGCAGAACCTGGTGAGGGCCATTTCTGGCTCTCAATGGAGCTTCTACAGCCTCAGCCTGGAGAGGGGAGGCCCTGGGAGGCCTCAGGACCCCATCACTCCAAGTCATCCTCCTGACCCTCCATGTGGGAGCTGGAGTCTACGGATGTGCATTGCAGGGATGCCAGCGCCTGGCCCGGAAAACTCCAGGCCCTGCATCTGTCAGCTTGTTCATTCCTGCTGGAAACCTTGATTGCTATTTAATCAAGCAAATTAACCAGCAGCAGTGTTTTAATAGTCTTTCCATTGTCTTTATGGGGAAGCCTATGTGAGCGGGAGAATTCTTCTCCTACTTCCTGTACCCGCCAGGAGGGCGCAGCATTCGTTCCTCAAGAAAGTAGCATAGGGCTGGAGTTGGGAGCCAGGTTTGTATTTAACTTGCAGCTCACCTCAGGCTTCCTCCTGGGTTCTTCTGCCCCGGGACACTGATTGCTTGCATTTCTTGACTTTCTCTCCTTTTTCATTCTCCACTCCGCTGTCTTTTTTTTTTTTTTTTTTTTTTTTTTTTTGGTCTTTTTCCTTTTTATCGGAACCAGGGATCGAACTCACGACTGCCTGCTTATAAGGCAGGCACTTATGCCGCTGAGCTAAATCCCGAGCCCCTCACTCCGCTGTCTTTTAAACGAGGCATTATATTAACAAAGTAAGATTTGAAAAACTAAAACAGCTTCTAATTATAAGGACATTTTAAACACTGAACTCTTATATTTGAATCTTTACAAACTAAGCAGAGTGAGTTTTTCTAGCAGACACCTCGGAATGTTCCAGAAGACTCATTTCTTTTACATGCGCTTTTTCTAACTTGAGTGGGAGTTGATATGAAACTGTTGCTATGGTGAGGTGCATTCTGCTCTTCATGTATAAATTTATATATAGGATTGGTGTCGAGGAAGAATTTAGCATGTAAAACTCAATCCAAAATACACTGTGGTTACTAATTTATAAAACAGACCCTGGAAAGAAAGAACCCCCTCCACCTTCAGTGGTGTCGCTGCTTTGTATAATCATATTGCTTTCAAAAGTGGCCTCTCACAGATGTGACTTACAGGGTGCCTTTCTGCACCCCGTGTCCTGAGACATCTCCACAGTGCTTCTGAACAAGCCAACTTTCCACACCACTGTCCTGTCTGTCTGCAGGAGACTTCTGAGCTCCTGTTTTCTTGTTCCTGTCCCCAGCTCACTGTGCAGGGCAGATGGTTGGTGTCAGTCAGCCCTTGGCCCCCAGTTGTTTGCACGTGTGGCCGCAGCCCCTGGCCTGCGTGGTCACTGTCCCCTTTGAGCATGTGCTGGCCCTCCCAGCCACGTCAGGCCCACACCATGTGCCCACAGGAGCTGGCAGATGCTTCCAGTTGCCTAGGGCGTCACCCCTCGCACCCTCCTGCTGTCCCACCCCCATGCTGGCCACCTCTTGCAGCCCTGCTCGTCTCCAGGCTCAGCCTGTGTGTTTCCTGACCATCGCTGGCAGGTATCAGCTCTCTGCACACCTTCACAGTCATCCTGCCAAGTCCAGTGCTCTTTTCTGGCTGTATTTCCCGCAGCCCATAAGCCGGGAACGCAGGGCTTATGCCTCCTCCGTGAGGGTGGAATCCTCCCATCTGCCACACGCTCCAACACATGACAGGAACCTATCAGATCTGTTAAGGAAGGCTTAGCTGGAAGCTTCCGATGGCCTCCAAGTCTCACTTTACGATTTTGCCTTTTCTCCCCGTTCCATAAAATGTTACTTTTTTGGGATGTTCTATTGAGATTTCACAGTTTGCAGAATAATTGGTCTCTAGACGGGAAATTCAGGATCTTGTAGTGTAGCACTCTTCACACACTGAGTTCTACAATGGGAGTGGCTTTCCAGCGGTTTCCCAGGTTGGACAGTCTTGATTGTTGTCATGGTGTAGATCTAAATGTCTCCCCAAAAGCTCATATATTCACAGGCAGAAGGGCGTGGACCGTGGGGTGCTATACTGCTCAGCAGTGGTTGACCCATTGATGAGTACACAGCTTAATGTGCTGTTGGTAGGCGGAGCCTGGCTGGGGAGCTGGGCCCGTTGGGGTGACCTAGGTGTATTCTTGTCCCCAGCTCCTTCCCCTCTTGCCAGCTCTCTTTCCCCCGCTCCGTCTGCATCTTCTTGTACCTGTCCCTGTCCCTGACCACCATGAGAAAAGCAGCTTTCCTCCACCGTGTCCCTCCACCATGTTCTGCCTTGGAGTCGCTGATCATGGACTGCACCCTCTGAAACATGAGCTGAAATACATCTTTCCTCTGTAAGTTGCTGAAGTCAGGGGCTGGTCACAGCAGTTAAAAGCTGACTAACACAGCTCTCCTCAGACAGAGACCTGACCTAAGGAAGGCAGTATTTCCCAGCCTTCTTCACTTCTCAGCCACAGAGGACACTGGTATTTTGATTGTACCCTAGACCAGAAGGCTGAGAGAGCAGGGTGCTGACCTAGGTCACCTTGGGGCTCAGAGCTCAGCTTCTTAGCGCAATTCCAGCCCTAGAAGACCCACTGAGACAGACCGCTGGGGCCATCCCACTGCAAGGCCTTGCAGTCCCTACTCTGCCATGGCAGCTGCCATACTAAACTCAATGGCTTTCTGATAGATGGGTTTTGTTTTGTTTTGTTTGTCTTTTTCCTTTTTATGGGTACCAGGGATCAAACTCATGACTGCCTGCTTGCAAGGCAGGCACTTATGCTGCTGAGCTAAATCCCCAGCCCCTGATAGATGGGTTTTTGATAGCAGCTCAAATGGAGACTTTGATTGATGTGTTTTTTATTTTGTTTAAATTAATGTAAGTTGAACTGATTAAGAAAGGCAGTTGGGGGAGGGTAATGAGTCAGATGTGAGCACTTTGGGGAGCACGTGAAGCCCACAGATCTCTAGAACCCCCGGATACCCTTCGCCCAGGGGTTCCGGGGCCAGGACACATGATACCGGCATCCCGGCTTCACCTCCACCCCTCTCTGTGTAGTGTGTGACGCTGGTGAAGACGATGATGAACTTCTAATTTCAGAGACTCTGGCTGCCTTGGGAAGGCTCATGTGGGCTGTGTGGGAATTAGAAGTAGGACTGTGGGAGCAGTACTCATGAGCCAGGGACTCTGGGCAGGATGGCAGGAGCACGTGCCCTAGGCCCTGTCTGAACCTGAAGCGTGGCTGCATCTTGTGGCTGGGTCCCTCTCTCAGATTCTGAAGGCAATGTCCTCATGTGGCGCCGTGCCTCCATGCTGGGAATAGTGATGGTGACCGCACAGCATCTTCTGTGATTTCCTGTTTCATGCCCCTGTCTTCTTGCTTGTGAAGCAGTCAGATGGGGAAGGACATTTGCAGTGACTGATGATGTACAGATTCTTACCAGTGCAGCTTCTCTTTTCCTAGAATGTTCCTCTTCTTGCTTCCTGTTCCTTATCTGTCTTCATCGATTGAACTCCTATTCATCCTTCCAGACCCAACAAAATAGTACATGCAGCTTCATCCTTCACTATCACCATAGGCTGAAACAATCTGTGTTTTAGCTGTTTTTGAAATACTTGTCCTATACTGTCTGGGACAGTGGGACAGTGGTGGTTGCACGTATAACCCCAAATCCCATTCTGCCATTGTTTTCCTGTCCTCATGGACCGGTCACCATGTGTGCTGGGCCTTGGTTTCCTCATCCTTGGCATGGAGGGGTAGAGTGTATATCCAGCCACTCCATGCAGTGGCACTGCCATGAGCTGCTCCCAGCGAACGGGGGAGCACCCAGCCTCAGTCCATGTTCTCTGTTGCCTGCCCCCTTCCCAACCCTCATTTCCCTTGTGCTGGGCAAGCACAGCTGTGGC